ACGGGAAACGCCATAACTTTCTCGAAAGTCGACCAAATTCTAAAATTTTTTTTTTGTTTGATCCCTCATAATGAACAGAGAAAGAATATAATGGATACATGATGAAACAAAGTAAACATCATGAAGAAAAAAAAACATAACCAATATGGAATATAACAACAATAATTGGAAAATTCTAACTTTTTTAATGGTCCCGAGACGTAATCAAAAGTTCGAAAACTCGCAAATGGGTGAAGACAAGGTGACTTCAAGCCAAACGAACATAACTTGAAGCACTGTTAGTCAGATTACCGTTCTATCTGGTTTAACTTTGAACAGTCGTGCTCTGAATGTTCATTGCATTCATTCGCTCACGATAATTGTAAGACTCCCGCATCCGCACGACACTATGTTTATGGTTCAGCCGGCGGCCAATTTTCAAAACTTCTCGGAGAAGTCACGAACCAAGTTGTCATAGAATAGAGTAGAATATCTTTATGAAATATTTAATGTAAAAACAAGAAAGATAAATTGTTCGTCTCAGATATATCAGAATGAATTTGCAATATTGGCATTTGTTACAAACTTATTATGTTTAGGCATAAGTAGAAATCACATTGAGCTATGATGAACTTTAAATATTATCACGAAGGATCTAGTGTTTATAAACTATTGTTTCTCTTTTAATGATACTTTCCTTTATGGCGTGGTGGAGGTGGGACGCCATATGGGACCATGGGACCCATTGGAGGAGGTGGAGGCATACCCATCATATATGGTGGACCCCGCATTCCTGGAGGTCCTCCCATGCCACCTGCGAAAATTGGTGGAGGTCCAACCCATCCGGGAGGTATGAAAGGTGTTGCTGGTGATGGAGAGGGGGCTTCTCCTCGTAAAAATCGAGAAAGCTCCTGTTCAGTATCAACGATCATCACAAGGAATGGACTGTCCGGAACATGTTCGCCATGCCACTTTACTTCGACTTGATAATCTCCGGGCTCGCGTGGTTCATATTTACAGTGAATCGTCCGCTCGTTCTTCTTTTCTCGTTGCATTTCGACGTTGAAAGCTCCTTTAGGACCTCTCACTCGAACAGTTAACTGACCAGCTCCCGCTCCCCTTGTTTCAACTACGAAGTTTGATTTGAACCTGAACAATTTGAATTACATGAGTACTTAACAAACAACATACATGGATAGAATTCCGTGTTCAACACCTGGTCCATAGACACGAACTTTGGAAGGATCCGGAGGATTAGATACATGAATTATATAAGGACTTCCATGAACATGGACGTCATTATACTTGATGGTGAGTGTATGCTTGCCAACTTCAGCTGGTCGAATGTTCAACGTGTACGTTCCGTCACGATGGTCATATAATTCACAGTAAGCAAGTTTGACAGGACCCATGCATTGTGCAGACAGTTGTCCAGGTCCAGATCTTCTGGTATCAATAACTGTTTTGAGCTCTTCTCCAATTATCCCGATTTTCAAAGTGGATGCATCAACGATTATCAGATCGGCTGGAGTGGTAGTAGACTCAACAGAGACCTAAATCGAAGAAATTAAATAACTTTAGCAGATATTCACGAACCTTGTAAGGAGATCCTGATAAATGACGACCGTTCCATAGGAGGTTTAATTCATAGTTTCCAGGAGTCATGGGAGTGTAGTTTGCCTTGAAAACATTGTGTCCGATTTGTTGAATACGTACAGGTACATCCGCCTTCTGGCCATAAAGATTTGCTGTTAAACGTCCCTCTGAACAAACGATAGATCAAACCAAGATATCATGCTATTACCTTTGGAAAGATCACTACCATCTACTATGAATTCATTAGGTTCTTGTAAAACACCACGGTGTAATCCATCTCCTCGAACCATAATACGGCTAATGTCATCGTCAGCGCTAGCTATTACATTCGCGGAAGAGCCTGATTTGTCTCTGAAATTGAAGTTGAACTATGAAACAGAAGCTCATCACTTACCTTTTATGCATCACAGGAGATGATGGAGTGCCTGTGGAATCTTGAGCAACATGAGACATTGATTGTTGGGTGTGAGCGACATGATGTTTTGATGTAGATGGCATTTCATCATTTCCAGAACGAGCACGAACGGGATATGCTCCTTCTACTGGTAATTCGTTCCAGAAGAGGAAAATTGAATATCTAACAAAAACATAGTTAATTATAGAAGCTATCTCAGATTCATTACCGTCCGGGTTGACGCGGAGAGAACGACACACGATACTTGCCGTATCCTAGGTCATCGACTTCCGGACCTTCGCGCAACAAAACGTTGTCCGCATCTCGAACTTCGGCACGAAGTTTGCCTTGAATAATAATAGCTCTTAGAGTTCAAGTTCAAAGAAGCTTACCGGGTCCGGCTGCAGTAGCATCCACGTCAAACATGTTATGATGTCCTAAACGTAGAAGCAGAGTGCCATCACGGTCCATATCCAGATCATTCACGATAACTTTTGAAGGATCAACGACTTGAACGGAGAACGGACTACCTTTAATAGGAATGATGTACAAAAGTCAATTAGGAAATGTACCTTTGAGTGGTTTGTTGTTGAAGTCAATATTCGCCTTATAAACACCAACTTCTTCAGGGTAAAATACAATTTCAGATGTTCCATTGGGTCTTCGCATCACGTTATGATGGATTTTAGTGTTTTGAGGTCCTGTTACGTATATCTTCAAGCCTCCATGCATGGATTTAGGATCGAAAATTAAGCTGGCTGGTTCGTTGATCTTGATTGATTGATCAATGGCTGCTCCGTAGACTGTTGGCAATTCTTGTTCTCCCACTTGTACAGTTTGTGGATAACCTGGAATTTGGACTTCGACTTTGTTTTGTTATCTAATCCTTACCTGGTACTTGGAACCCTGACATTCTCAAATTGATCTTATGAGGACCGGTTTTACTGGGTAAGAATGTATAACGGTCTTCTCCTCCAGGAGACTTGAGGAAGTCCAACTTGAGCGGAGCCCCAGTAGGATCAGTGACATCCACTTGCAAGTCTCCGACTCCAGCTTCACCACGATTGACTGAAATAGTAAATTTATTCTGCAAATATATAGTAGTCCACATACCGTTAATAGTTGTAGCATGACGAAGAACAATACTTTCAGGGACTCCTCGTACTTGGACTCTTTTTGGATCAACAACCTGAAACCACCAGAGATTACTTGCACCGCCTGCAAAACTTACTTCGCAACGGAATGGAGATCCAGCGACAGCAACATCACCAAATGTCACTTCTATGGTGTGAGTTCCCGTTTGTTCTGGAGTGAATTCTACCCAGTAGCTGTCATCTTGTTGTTTGTAACAACGAACTGGTACAGGACCACCCTTGGGATCTGAACAAACAGAGTTGATACGAGAATAATTTGAATAGAGGTTAGTATGGAAGGGGTTTAGTCAGAACAAAACATAAAGAAGACATGCACACAGAAAACGAATAGGGTAAGGATATCTCAGCTGATCTGAAAGAATCTGAAAAAGGATATGAATGTGTTATACTCTTAATAGTGGGTAACTGAAATGGTTCAGATATTATTGATTGTTATGTTTACTTGGTAAGTTCCTGATGTATTATTTGTTTTCTTTACCTGAAACTAATACATCGAGCTCGCCTCTCTTTGAATCGTTAAGAGAAACTTCAAAACGAGCTACTCGTCCGCGTTGAGCTCGCTTGAGAGCATCTCCCGAAGCTCGAACAGAGCCGGCATCAGTAACGAAACATTCATAAGGACACTCTTGAAATGAGCAGATTAGATATTATGACAAACTATGAATTCACCTGGCAACATAAGTCCATCTATATTGATGTCAACTGTGTGTAAGCCTTGTATCTGTGGCACGAACGAGCACACCAACAGACCAGGTTTGACTTTTTTGACAACACACTCAACGGCCTTATTGCCGTGTCGAACGTCTACTGAAGCTGATTGAGCTCCCGACAAAGCGTAGTCAACTGAATAAAATGATGTGAGAACGCATTAATGGGTGGTACTTACCATTAAACTGTATCTCAGTTCCCACTCGATCGCTGCGGAGACCAATGATCCTCACAGCACTGGGGTCCAAGACAGCCACAGGGAACGGGGAGCCAGATATGTGATTGGAAGCAACAGTAACCGACATTTCATGTGGTCCTTCGCTCTGTAAAAATTGATAATGAGATATGAATAGTAAGTATGCATTACAGCTGGAATCCAACAGATCGCCCATAACGTGTCAGAAACTTTCTTCAATGTAGGATTGAGAATATTCCTATCAGGTCCTAGAAGATATGGTTTACTCCGTTTCTTTCAAAAGATCATTACCTTCAATTTCAATAGAAACTTCTGTTTCTATTCCTGATTCTATCAGAAGTTTATGTTCAGATGGCATTCCAACAACTTGCTTCGAAAGCTCCGAGATGAGTTGAACGCCGTTGACAGCATCAACAACTTTTTGATATTTTATATCTTGAATCAACTCGTTATTTACATAACAGGCTATCGTATGAACACCGATCTGAAACACGGTTCATAGATGATAACTGTCTTGGAAACTTCTATTACCTCCTTGAAACGACAACTAGCTCTGACACCACCGTTATCTGGGAGTCCTTCCAGAAGAACAGCTTGAGATTTTCCATCGGGGTCACGAATATCTACTTGCAATGTTTCTTTATCACTTGCATCAACTGAAACGGAGAACATGTATATGGTAATACTGTGGGTACCAACTATCGAAGCTATACTTCTTCCCAATTATACAGACAGGAGGAAGAGATAAAGGAGCATCACGAACAACGAACGTGATGGGTTCACTAGTGAGTGAATCCTCATCAAGCTTGACACTTAGTTCATGTTTACCTAAAAGCCAATAGAAAACACTCAAAATAGGAGACTCACCTTTAATATTTGGAACGAAAGATACTAAAAATGAGTTGTCCTTCTGCTCTACTTCGTTGGCCACCGTTGATCCGTCAGGAGCTGAGTTAGGGTCACACAATCAAACATAACACACAGAGTACTTTAGCTTTCCGAACAACTCCACTTTCTTGGACGTTCGGAAAGGAGACGTGGACAGAACACAACAAAACTCGAAAGACATGCGTTGATGCACCCGCCCAATGCCCGCAAAAGAAGAAACCCAAGGTAACGAAAACAAAAACAGAAAGAGGAACGGAAAATAAAACCCAACAAAGCATTCTCAAAGCTTTACCTATGATTATAACATTGCAGTCCTTTGCACGACCTCCAACGTTTTCGATTGTAAATCCTTTCTTTTGACCGACCTGTAGTGATGTTGAAATGCCTTCTAGTGAAGATGTTCAAACCTGAGCTCCAGCTAATTCTTTTCCTAAACCTAACTTTTCTCTTTTCTGGGGTGGAGCAGAACCTGCGTGACTAGCAGACATTAACACAGGAGTGTTACTTCCGCTAACACCTGATTCAACAGGACAAGTCATCGGAGAGCCTGAACAAATGAAGTTCAAAGCGAAGGTTAACACTCAACAAACCTGGAACGGAAACTCCGTTGAACTTTACGCTGATGACATGTTCACGTGGCTCTTGAGGTGTGAAAGAAACTTTGAATTTGGCTTGTCCTTCTGATTGTACGAAGTTTGGAACGTTTCTGTTATCAACAGAGACAATAATTTCCATGTTTCCAGCGCCGGCACGGGCAGCATCTGAAAAATCTCGCTCGAGACCACTCAATGAAGTTCAATTACCTATGGTGAAAGTCGTTGGCTTTCCAACAACTGAGCGATCACAGGGACTTAGTCTAGCTTGACGAGCGTCATAAGCCTTGGCTGTGAAGGGAGATCCGGCAATAGGCTCTCCATCCAGAGAAACATCAATCTAAACCCATATTTACGAAAGCGTTATATATTCTGATCTTACTTGGTGGTTTCCAACACATTTCGGGGTGAAGTTGATGACAGTCAATGCGGGATCTTTCTTGTTATTACTGATCTTTACTGGCAAGTCGTTGGCTTGAGAATCTCGTACACGAACTTCAGGTGGATTTTCGGTTGGACCTTAACATAGAACTCAAACTGACTCCTAGCACATTGGCTTACCGTTGGTTTGCAGGACAATCTGAGTTTCTTCATCGACAGCAATACGTTCAAGACCGGGTCCGGTAGCTGTGGCTTGTGGTGTAGCCATCATTCGGCATGTGAAGGGAGAACCTAATTGATAAGATGAAGCTCAATATACAACTCGAAGAACTACCTGGAACTGGTTCGTTGTTGAACCGGACAGTTATGGTGTGATCGGAATTATCCTTAGGGACGAAGGAGATGTCATACTTATGTTGTCCTAGAGCATGAGCCATAGAAGGTACTCGTCCTTCATTGACTGCAACTTCTAAGTTTCCAACTCCAGCTTCAGAAGCATCGACTGTAATCCCGAAATGTTTAATACAAGCATAAAAAAATATGAACCTGTGAAATAAACTGGTTTGTCAACCAATCCTTTGGGAATGGTTCCAACTCGGATCATAGTAGGATCGTAAGCACGACAGGTGAATGGACTTCCTGTTACAGGAGCACCACCATACTTCACATGGATTTCATGATCTCCGACATCGACAGGAACAAAGTTGACTTGCATAACACCAGGTTCAAGCTCAGAAACTTCAGTAGGGAGCTCACGCTTCTTATTATCTGAATAAAAACAATCATGCATGTAATTGATAAGACATATAATTCAACGTAAGACTCTCGGACACTCTCATACGGACGTTGAAGGGACAAGGAAAACTCGGAAGAAACAAACCTAGTGTAGCTTCATCTGAAAGTTTGATCAAAACAAAAAAACAATGAAAACCAAGACAACATAACACATATTCTAACCGGTAACGGTGATAGAAAGTTCTTCTGAGCCAGCTACTTCAATATGGATACTTGAAGGCTGTTGAACACGGGATAAGGAAGGTATTTTGGTTACAGCTGTCTTGGAGATGCTTCTAGCTTTGCCCTAAATAGCACAATTATTTGACAGACTTCAAATAGCACAACAACTTTTTTGCCCTTTGAGGTAGCCGCTTTCTCTTCCTTCTCTCTCTTGGCTCGTTCCTTCTCTTCTCTTTTCTTTTCTTCTTTCTCCTTCTTCAACTCCTTTTTAGATAACGGAGGAGACTGAGGGCTTGTAGCAGCTGAAGCAGCTGCGCTTACAAGAGTGGCATCTGCGGGTTGAACACTCTCGACAATCTGAACTTCGAAAGGAGAATCTATAATTGACAATTTCATAAGCAGGAACTGCAGTTCTTCTTACTCTTCAGAACTTCTTTGTTGAAAGTAATGTTAACAGTGTATTGTCCTTTAGTAGCTGGAGTGAAGGTGACCAAAAACTTGGCAGACCCAGTCTCGAGTTGTGTAACATGGGAGGGAATGATAACCCCATCGGAGTCTTTGATGGCCATCTCAAGATTACCGAAACCAGCTCTTCCAGCATCAACTGAATAATCAAAGAGTTTCATGAGTCAGGCTGAAGAGATAATCCTCACCTGTGAACTCTACGGTATCGTTCAATCTGGATTGGGTTGGGATTTCGCCAACAATGATTTGAGAAGCATCATAAACTCGAATGGCGTAAGGCGACGATGGATGAGGAACCTCATTCACATAAGCAAAAATCTATTAAGAAATAAATACAATAGGAGAGCAGCAGTATACTCACCTTGTGAGTACCAACATCTGCAGGCTTGAAAGAAACCTCGTACTTGCTTCCACTTTTCTTGACCTTAGTCTCAACTTCTTGAGGTTCGGTGATACCTTCATGTGGTCGAATAGGAGCTTAAAGAAGATGACGGTACATTTTTTTTTCAAATTCAACTTACCCATGACAACTACGCGTAACACATCTTCTTTTCCTAACTTCAAGTTCTCCAACTTCACTTCAACGTCCTTTCCACGTTTGATGACTTCATGCTTAGAAGTGAACTTGCTCTTTCCAAAATCAAAAGGCTTAACTTCTTTTCCCTCCTCAAAAGATATGCTTGCGATTATGAATCTAACAATCCCTTACTTTCTTGAATTTAGCAGAAACTTTAGGAGTTGTAGCTGGAGTGGTTGGGGCAGATGGAGCTGGAGAGTGAGGGAGCTCGTTAACAGGCTCTAATGATTGTACATGTGTTTGCGACTCAGCAACTTCGATTGGATCATTAATATCCTCGTCTAGAGGTTCATCAATTTCCACAGATTGGCTAGAATAAACATTTTTAAAGGCATAGGATATTTGGATAACTCACTCATGAATTGGTCTTCGGCCTAAGTTTGGCAGACTCTTCTTTCCTTCGTCATGATGATCTGTCTTCAGTCTATCGTCTTCATCACTGAACAGATTTGGATATAAAAAAATGTTGTTGAAAACACATACTCTGCTGGTGGCATATCATAGATGAGTTCATGCTCATCAGCACGATGTAAAGGTGGTGCCTGTTCGTTTTCTTTGGCATTGATGAGCTGAAATTGATATAAGTTTGTTTGAATATAAGCATATCATACCTCTGATTGAGTTCTCAAGAAACCTTGACTAGCAGGGTCATCTCTCTTGAGAATAGACTGAATAGGCATATGAGATGAAGAATGAGCTCTATAAGCCATGTCTTCTTTAGACTTCAATCCTTCGGTGGTTGTAGCAGGAACTTCCTCGTAATGTCTGAAAGAATGACCATATAAGACACAAACAGTAATATCATGAAGAAAGTAATGATAATCATGAAGGACTAGAGTCGATTAGTAGCTAATAGATCAAAACATTGCAAAGAATCCTGTTCAAATTACTAGTAGAATGCTAGAGGAACTCTCAGGCACGTCGTTATATGTCCAAAAATGGAAGACAAACCTTTCAGTATTCTCTTGCTGCCATGTCCTATGGGGAGATGTCATAGACGTAGTGGTTGTGGTCGTCTCGAAGTATTGTGGCTCGTACTTCTGAAAGTAAGTGGATTAAATGACAACATTGTTTCTTCATCGAAGAGAACACTCTTCTATTGTGAAAAACTGAGAAAGGAAGAATTGAAATCGTCGCAGAGAACCCCTCTGCTAATTTCCGTTTGATCGCATTAGCAATCATGTCGTTAAATCTCTCTTGAAGGAATCAAAATAAGTGATTACCTTGTAAGTTGTACTTGATGGCCGGTTATCATAATCTGGAGGAGGGCTAGGAGATCTTTAAAATACGTTCTTGAGCACACACAAACACAATAGACTCTCACCTGTATCTACCAACGTCGATATCTTTGGGAGGTTCAGATCGAGGTGGACTTGGTTCACGACGAAGAACTTGCTCCTTCACTTTCTCAGTTCTCTGAAAAATATTCATGCCTGTTTTCAGTTTTCGACTGACCTCAAAAACGGTGGCCGCATGTGGCACTACAGGTGTGGTTTTCTTCTCGAGGGTGTCTCCAAAATGTCTAACGCCTGGTTCTCCATATTGAGCAACGGTGTATCCCACAGTAGATTGATTCTTCAAGCGTAAGTTTGATGTTATAATAACTGCAAAACAAACCTTCTCAACATCTACAGGTATCTGACGTCTTCTTTCTCTATCCTCTTCATCTCCAATGGGATCGATTCTTTCAATTCGCTTAACCCGCTCACCAACTGAAGGTGAGGGAGTCTCACGAACAGGTGATCGTAGATCAGTACGGCTTCCCTCTCTGTCTCGAGCAGGTGAAGGTGATCTATGAAGTAAAAATCAATAAACAATGAGAATGGAAATGGGAGTACCTGTAATCTCGTTCAGAGGAAGTCTTAATAGTGAAAGGACTAGTAGTATTGCGATCTTGAGCCAAAGAAGGTGATGGAGTTCTTAATTGCCTCTCGGCGAACTCGCGTGATCTGAAGTTATTCAACATAATCAAGCTGGACGGTATCCAACTCACCGGACTCCGACCAAGCTGGGTGAGGGTGTTCTGCGAATAGTAGTAGTAGTTGTCGTTGTCTCAGATATAATGCGAGTTCTTCAAGGAAGAGCTATGTAATTGATTTATGATATATTCAAACCTTGATGGGTCAGAAGGTGATAGTGTTCTAGCTGTGTTTCCATATATCTTATCATAAATAGCTGAACCAGCCCATTCTCTTTGGGGAGACAATGAGGAGCTAAGACGAGATGAGGTAGGTGAAGTAGGACCGAACGACTATAAGCATGGGATATGTTCACGGATATGCTGTTATCTGTATTACCGATTTCCAAGGTTGTTCTGATCTTCCCCTAATGTCTTTCATGATGTTAGCACTTTTTGGACCTTCAGTCGATCTTTTTTCCTCACTACGTTGTCTGGCATGACTGAGTATCGATGCTGACGTTGGAGATGTACCAGTAGTATTTTCCCGTAGTTGAGAACTTATTGATTTCGATCCATCTGCAACAAAACGCTGTCAATGCAGTACTTATATGTATACGGCCAATAAGTATGCTATTCGAAAATAGAGTCTTTGTTCTATATGTATTTAAAAACTTCAGTTTGAGATCAGATTATGGTAATTCAAGCGTTTACTAAACACGGAAATCTAGTTCTCTGTCATCTATGCGATTACATATGCGGTCCAATGGAATTACCCGGCAATCTCATGGTCAAACTTTATAGTAAAATGACCATCCTCCCCGGTAGTAATATTTCTATTGGGAGCTTACCTGCTGAAACAGCAGTAGACACGGCAGTTGGAGTAAGGTTGGCTTGAACAGTCTGACCAACTTGCTTTGGAAGAATTTCCACACGGATAGGGCAACCTGAATCAAAATTACAGTTCTCGGATAGTTCTCAATCTGCTAATTTCTCATTTCACTGCCATTCTCAGAGTTGCTACCTTTAGCAACGTCTAGCCTAATGTTTCAGGAGGACAAGCAGAAAATGGCTGTATGATGAATGGTTCCACTTTCTTCTTAATGAAGAAGTTTTTTTTTTTTTAAATTCTCTTTCTTGAGATTCTAAAGTGTCATCAACAACGCTTCATTCGATGTTTGGCAGTCAACTTAGAACAAGTGAAAAACCCTGAAGGAATCAATGCCGCCTTTTCCAGAATCACTTTATGACTTTTTCTGGCGTTTGATCAATTCAAGTCTGTCTGTCTTTCTCTCTCTCTCTCTCTCTTTCTGTTCAAGTGTAAGAGAAGAATGAAACGGAATCTGTTGGCAGGCATAGTTTTCTCGCCATTGAAGCATTTTTATTTCCTCAGGACATGTTCATTCACAAAGAGAACAGTTTCTTCATAGCCCACTTTACACGTAAAACATGATTTCTGATGAAAAAGCTTTGCAATGTTCAACTTTTAAATGCCCTTATTAACATTGAAAAGCATGCAATGAATGAAAATAAATATTGTTGGAGAGTGAAAACAAAAACATTAGCAATCAGTGAAGGAGCATTCATATACAGCCTCTTAGATGGTCTTGTTTTGACTTAGACAAACACATACACATACATTAGAAACATTCTCCAACTTGGTAAAGCAGCGTACTCATTAAAGTATATGTTCGAATAGGACAAGTAGTAACCTCTCTCTCCCACTCCCTCTCTCTCTCTACTACACTCATAACACACATTCAAATATCCACACACACACAAATTATTTTTGATCATGAAGAAGAAGAAGAACATAAAGTATTATATACCTTGAACCTGTTCTCCGTTAAACGTTACATCAATCACATACGTTCCGGCTTTTTGAGGAATGAACGTTACTAGACATCTGAAAATGGTATAGACTAATGAGAACATTTGCAAATTCAAAAATATTTTTTTTCATTTCTCAAATTCACTTTCTCACACATCATACAATCATTCTTTATTATCATTTTTTTGTGCAAAAAAATAATTTTCTTTGGAGCATCATCTTCAACAAACATCTGTAATAGGACACACGTGAAAGTTTACAGGAAAAGATAACCAGTTTGCGCTTAGCCTATTATGGAATTTCACATTATGTTTCTACCAACTGTTGAAAATCAATAAACTAGATCATAGTACTCCAAAGTACAGAGAAATAGGTATACAATACAGTTATACCTATTGAATTGATATAATGAATAGAAGTTACAAACCTTCCAGCTCCTTGCATTTGAACATTGTTTGGAACTCTTCCTTGATTCACAGAGATCTCTAATTGACCTTTGCCAGCTTCAACAGCATCAACTGCAGGAATAACATATAGTTGAGAATAATATTTCATTTGATTAGAATCAGAATTTGTAGGATTAGAAGGTAAGTTAGGAAGAGCTACCACTGGACGTGCGGTGACAGCGGTTCTAGATGTAATAGTTGTGGTTCTGATTGAAGAAACCGAAGTTTTTGTTGATGGACGTTCAACAGTTTCATTGAATGCTTCATGCTTTGAGGACGTTGGTGTAGCGTCGGGTTGAACCATATATGCAAGCTCTACCACTGCGTGGCCGATTTAGCTTGGTCTATCGTTAAAGTAACATTGATCAACAGCCAACTTAATATAAAAGTAGGCGGAGTTAGGCTATTTGCGAGAGAAAAGAGGCAAAATGAGATCGATGAAAATAGGGAAGCGATATTAAAAGTAGAGAAGAGGCGGAGTTGATAGTCACGCCTATTCATCATTTCAATGTGAAATCAACGATTCAAACTGATCACGGTATTACTTCCAAGTTTCTTTTACATATTTCTTGTTATATTATTGTTATATTGTTGAAAATATTAATTTAAGACATTGGAAAACTAGTTGAAAACTCACCGACGAACTGTACAGGTTGTCCGACAGCACCACCTCCTAATGGCTCAATTCGTACTTTTTGAGATGAATAGCCAGCTACTGATAATGGACTGCCATCTACTTTTCTACCCGCAATCCAAACAGTCAATTGATGCTCTCCAACCTATACACATATGTAAAGCTACCACAGTCAACAGGACGCAAAAAACCTGTTCGATTTGATACTCAGCAGTAAATTTCCCTGAGCCTTTCTGTACTAGCTTTATGGGATATTCTTTCCCGTCTGGTCCAAAGATTTTAGTTTGAATGTCTACTTCTTCTAATCCTTCTCCAGTTATGTCAAAATAAGCTGAATGTCCAACAGGCGCACGTACTAGTCCTGGTCCTGACAACTCAGAATAGTAAGATATTGTACTGGAAAACAGAATGAAAATGTTTCAATTGAAATGATTATAACAATACCGTGCCATATCAGGACGTCTTTCGGCTCTTTCTTCTACTGGAATCCTCCATGGGCTACCTGGTATTTCCTCTCCATTGAATCTCATTTCAATACTATGCGTAACGGACTACAATGAATCTTTATATTTAAAGAATTTGAACATAATATACCTGCGTAGGAGTGAAAATGGCCATATATTGACGAGTACCAATCTCTTTGACTCGGCAAGGTACGCGTCCCCCATTGATCATAATTTCTAAGTTTCCTGAACCAGCAGAAGAAGCGTCAACTGCAAAGATACTATTAACTTTCTATTCAATTTTAAGAAATGCATCATGTTTGTTATAGTCAGTTAACGACACCAATTTCGATATAAAGTTTTGGCAAAACAGTGTCTCACAGACAGAAAATCAGTGTTTGATAGTGCCGCGAACAAAGTGAGAAACTCTCTTAACGATAACATTAAGCCTGCACTGTTTAGAACATGAGTACGCGACGGCGGAGTGCTTCAAACTGCATACGTTCTGTACATCGGAATGCGACTGTCGTGTGCGTTCAAATGCAACAGTTCTGTACACCAGAATGCGACCGTCGTGTGCGTACGAATGCAACAGTTCTGTACATCAGAATGCGACTGTCGTGTGCGTACGAATGCATCAGTCCTGTGCATCAGAATGCAACCGCCGTGTACTCAACAATGCCACAATCCTGTACATCAGCACCAAAGTAAATGAGAAAATGATGCCAACTGTTACAGATCATAGGAGAGCTACTTAAACATCACATTCACCAGTGTTATATCAAAATGAAGAGCATTTGGAGAGAAAGCTCAAAAAAATGAAAGCATAATGGAAACATAACATGCATACATGAAATAACTTGAGAGAACCACAGAAATCAATAAAATGGCAAGTACGACATAGTGTTTGTCATAGCAATGATCTCTTTGTGGGGAAAAGAAGTTTCTCTCTATTAGGACAACAACTCAAGTGGTGCAGTAAAGTTGAAAGTGAATGAGGAAATAGGAGGAACTCGAGCAATCAAAAATTAAAAGAAGACGAAACTATCTGGAACGAGTAAACTTTTCCAGGTAGATTCGCACACAAACTTGTGTTGACTTTAGTATCTTCAATTGATGCTCCTATTATGAAGAAGCAGATCAAACAACAAATTAGTTGGAACAGCGTTTCAGCTTCCAGAAATAAACAAAACAAAACTAACTTTCGAAGCTATGATCCGTGTACAAGTCTTTAGCCTGTATTCTTCTTGGCATTGCGCGAACATCAACTAAATCCGGAGCACCAACATTACAAATGTATGGTGAATCGTAGACACTTTGATCGAACAGACGAATATCTATTGTGTGCTCACCTAAAGAAGCATTTTTTAGAAACATTTAAAAGAAATTCAACAAAAAAAACAATGTTTTTGCCCAATCACCCAAAACTAACGAAGATGTAACCCCAACATAGCTTCCAACTTACCAGGGTCTTTGGGAATCCAAATAACTTTGAACGTAACATCATCCACTTGCAATATTCTAGCGTTGTGAACTCTTCCCGAAGGTCCTAACAAAGTTCAAATTAAACTAGAGTAAACATAGAAAAAAACAAAAAACAAACAAAAAACATACAAGCATGACAGTCAGCGACAAAAGCCATTTGCAACGGAGACCAAACAGACATAAGACATGGTGCAGTGTTCCATGGCTTGACATAGATGTAGCAATAACGCCACACACGATACGAATAAATATTAAACAACAACAAATAAAAAGAAAGAAAAAAGAAACAAAAAATGGGACAAGGGACTGATACTCTTACTCGCACACGATAATTGAAAGCATAATGAAAAGGGATTAAACCTGTGATAAAGACTCCAATATCTCTACAGTCTGCTCCAACAGCATGGATCATGAAAGACGCTTCATTTCCAACTGAAGCCATTCTAAGATTCTCTCCATAAACACTAACAGATGAAGCATCTGCTATGTCCAAAATGAAAGGAGAACCTACACCAAATGATTATATATCAAATTCAATCAATAATAAAAATACCTTTAGCCTCCATTCTGTTGAATATAACGTGAATCTTATACTGTCCAGCTCCGTCAGGCACAAAATTAATTCTATATATGCGAGAATTTCCTTGTTCTTCAACAAAACTTTCAATTTCACGTCCGTGACGGAAAACAGAAACCTAAAAGTTATAAAGTAAACAATAAGTTTCAATAATGAAGAATGAATGAGTGATGATTGGGGATGAATTAGAACAAAATGAAATCAAATCAAAAGTTAATCGGTAGTTCATAGTGAAATAGTGATAATTGATGAAAATGATAGCAACGCCAATTAGTTAAGAGAAAGAATGAAGAAACGACAATGAAACACAATTTCTGGTCGGCATGTTGCAACAAGTTATTAAAGTAACCTTGTCGGGATCGCACAAAAAAAAACTGAAGCTTTGGCATGTGGATCCAAACAAACTTTTTTTTCATTCAGAAAAGGAGAAGATCGAAATAGAAGTAAAGGAACAAGTAAGAACATCAGTTTCAGTTTGTTTGTAAACATCAACAACGAACGAATGACTATCGAAACTTGCGCTCTTTCAGAGAAAAGGAAAATCCAAGAAAAAACATGTGAACATGGAGAAAAAAATTTCAATTTCAAAGCTACTATGCCTTTCTTCGCAGCTGATAAACTATAGGGAGTGGTTGGTGATGTAAGATACCATTTTAGCGAAAAACGTCCAACGTCATTTTTGTTCAAGTCAAATCTACGCCCATAACCAATATAGACAATACATTAAATGCTACTTAATAGAACAAAAGCACCCCCAATGCGAGAACTAATCAGGCAGCAACCTTACATCAATGAAGCAGAGAAAAATAAGGAAAGTTAACATACCGTCAATTGTCCACTTCCAGCTTGACTGGCGTCTGCAGTGAATCTTAACTCTTGTCCAACTAGACCAACGTCTAATCCGTATACGTTTACAAGATTAGGATCAAATACCTATAATATATATATGTTACATAATAATTGATTGGCAACATACTTGGCAAGTAAATGGACTACCACGAATATGATCTCCTTCGTATAATATTCCGATTCTCCAGAGACCTTAAGGAATAATCATTATTAAATTTGTATATATATTTTTGAAAAAAAAAACAAAAAAAATAGAAATCAGATGAACGATAGAAGTTGGAATGTTGGATTGAGAGTTGCAGAATCATCAAAGATGAATAACATGAATGAGAGATTCAAAGAAACAAACATTAGTGGGTGTGGTATATCATGGATTTTTCCTCTGTTCCTTCTAATCTTCATATTCATTTTGATCAAGAATAGCGCAACTCGCATAAACATGCAGATATACAAAAGGAGCTATATTTGACATAACGTCGTCTATCTTGCATATTCGAGGGACTAGGAAAGAGAAACACTAAATACAGATTGTGATTAAGAGAGAGGAGAGAAAGGTCCCGAAAGAATCCACAACAACTATATACCAGGTTATATTAGATTCACTCTTCTTGAAGGTCAAGCGACGACAATATACGACAACCGCAAGATGACGGAGACAAACGTGTCGTAGTTCAGCAAGACTCACAGTTCGTGAAGTGAGGCAGCCCAGAATCAATAATCAATAACATCAAATAATAAGATAGGAAAAGGGATCGTCTATCATTCGTGTAAGGACTGCGCACTCCTGAGATATCTGCCTCCACATTCATGCATTCTTCTATACCACACTCTCTCTCCCCTTTATCTTATAAGACTCTCTGCCCTCCTCTTATTACTATAACAATTATCTAATTGGAGGTATATACGGTGATATAGCAGTCTATACTCCATTACCGCATAATAACACTATGAAAGGGCGCATATATCTACTCCATGATACATTGCTATCACTCTCTATATCAGTAATATCATTTAGTGAACCATGATATTCATGATTGGGATAGTATTGAACCGATTAGCAAGAGAAGTTAAAGAAATGTTACAATAAAAGTGTAAAAAAAGAAATGTTCGCAAAGACTAACCAATTTCAGTAGGTGTGAATGTAGCCATAAAACTGTTTTGTCGTCTATGTACATCACAATTGATAACACGTCCAGATGGTGCTACAGCATCAACATATACAGATCCTGTACTTGCAGTATCTCCATGTGCATTGATCTAAGCAACAAAATATATATATTAGATTCATACTCAAAGGTAACATACCACAACTTCGACTATCGATCCAACTGAACATGGTTCTGTTAAGCCCGAAAAACTAACAAGACCTATGTCACTGGGTTTACTAGTTTCTTTTGGATCTGTTAATGGCATTTCGTGATGAGCAGATGCTTCTAGTGTAACCGGTATCTGGAAATAACAATTTGCATAACTTTTCTCTCGAACATTTCGATTACCTTAGTTGAGTAGGATCTATTATGTTGTTGTTGATTCGTTTGAGTAGTAGGTGAACGCTGATCTCTTAGCTGAAAATGAGATGTGAGACATTATAGCATTCATGACACAACAGAACACTATGATAATGAAATAATGACATGAAACATACCGGATGATTCTGGGCTTCAAGCTGCTTTATGATATGTAGACGGCGTTGGGCGAATGATTTATGTGATATATCTATATCAGACGCTTCGGAAAGAGACCGTTCTATCGACGATGGTTTCCTGTCAGCGTTTTTCACAGATGAGTTGGGACCTAGCCTGCTTTCAACTCCTACGACTGCTTGTTGAACTGGGAAGTGTGATGAAGATGGCTGATTATGAGAGCTTTCGTGAACAGTACTGCTTTGTGAGTGCTGACTTTCAGATTGAGCTTTATAGGAAATTGAGGATGTTGCTCTTGTTGTTACTCTTGATGGTGAACGTGAATCCTCTGTGCTAAGCACACGTAAGGATATAGGTGAGGAAGGAAGCTCAGCTCCTTGACAGTATATACGCACCTGAAAGAAACTCATAAGAACCTTTAAAAAAAAGAAAAAATGTTTGTTGTATAAGCTCAATGGGGATAAAAAAGGCCAAAAGTTTGATAGAGACAGGATAAGAAACACGTATCATCAGCAGTAATGGTTACAAACGAAAATAGACATAATGCCAGACCAGCTTTTCATCAAATTAAATCGAATTCAACCATGTTCTCTAACAAAACAGAAAAAAAATTTACAAATTAGTCTGTCTGTCTAACAGAATCATTATCCGATTTTCGGAAAGATCTATCCAGTAAACTTCACTAATCTGTATAGACATTATAGAAGATTGCTTAAATTGGTTCATAAACCATTTTCAACAGATACATATTCTTGAAATGTCTCCATTAAAACGTAAATTCTATTGAAATCGATGAGTTGGTGTCAGTCAGGCGAAACATCAAAGGCTGAACGAACAAGAAAAACCAAACAACTTATATAAAAACTTGAGAATAGCATCACAAAAGGTCATATGCTTAGAATAGTATGATAGAGAATGAACAACATAATTAGGTTAGTTAGCCAAAAGTTGTCTGTCTGCTTATGTAGTGAGCCATCGTCACACATATTTCTTTTTCTTTTACAGTTACTTTACAAAAATATATATATGTGAATAGTGGTCATCTAGGTATAAGGAAGGTATAACATAACGTCAGTATAACAGAAATGGAGAGAAGAGAGAAGATATTCCTGTTACATAGATAGTTTTGAAACTTTGGCACCAATTTCAAACGATTTATGAAACCATATGGCCCAATTTCGAGAGAGGAAAGATTTGTTTTTCACACCTACGAAAGGAAAGGCCGTAGCTAACAACCAACTAACAAAATGTAGATAAATCTTGTTCAAAAAACTAAATCAAATGTGGAAGTTGTTTCAGAATACAAATGAAAAGGTATATGAGAATCAAATAAGGAATGTTAGGCATGAAAGAAGAAATATCAACTAAAACAATATTTCCAGCCTTAAGTAAAAGGAAAAAAACCTGGAGATGACTTATTTCTCTCCATTTCTTTTGTTAGTTTTTAAATCAAGGAAAGTAAAAAAACAAGATCGCTCGAACTTTCCATTGAAGGTAGATGATGTGGAAAATATGCACAGGTCCAACCATGTTTTTTTTTTTAAGAAAAAAAACATTTAAGAAATGATTTTTCTTAACTTCTATCTCGCTCATCGGTTATTCGTGAATCGAGAAGAGCTCGTTGGAATTTGGAGTGCTGCGATTTATTCATAACAATAACAGGAAAATGTAAACAGCATTAAGAAGCAAGAGAGAGAAAAAAAACTAAATTAGGTGAGAAGAGCAACAGGCTCGACACGTTACTGCTCAATGCATTATGCATTTGAATATGAGTTAGTAGAAGATGAATAAGGAATAAGGGGGGAAAAAAGGCTTTTCCTTATTATATTATACTTCTGTTTAACTATTACTGCATGTGAACATAGACGCAGGAGGTCAAGGTAGCAATAGCAAAGGAAAGCTAGCCATTGGCTGTACTTGGTCTCTCAATACTGAACCTCCCTTCTTTCTTTCAAAGATTTTGAGATAAGCGAATCAAAAAGTTGGCGATTCAGATATTAACAAGTCAGTTATTTGTTAATAGCGCATTTTCAATAGAATGTGTATGTACAAAGAGAGAAAAAGATAACAGACGAAAACGAGAAACGAACGAAAGATGTAGTAGAGTTGATGAGAATAAGAGGCAAAGAAACGACAAGATAGAAAGGAAGAGAAGGAAACAAGTGGTATAGTCTCATGCAGCAGAGGCAATAAATAAGAGAAGGCAAGTCAAGGTTGCGCTGAAGACAGTCTCCTACTCAAAGTCATGAAGTTAAGGTGGTGCAACAATGAAAACATGAGCGTAAATATTAAGACAAATGAATACAAGCACAGTGCTATGTAAATAAATAAATTTTTTGGTCATTATATCTTACAGCTTAAAAAACAATTAATCCCTTTCTAATTTCTAAAATTATAAATAGTTTTCATTTCCAGTTCAGTTTCTATCATGAATCTCTTTTCAACTGAAGCAAGACAGGAAGTGAAAAGAAGGACGTGATTAAACGAAAAGTTTAAAAGTTTAAAATGAAATTTCTCGAAAGGGATCGCCACACTCCCAAACGATTTTAAGCATTTTTTGTTCAAAAACAATGCCTACTATTTGGACTTGGCTACATAAACATCTAATTACAATGTTATTGATGCCTTCATATCATGAAGAAAAACTAATAGTATACTCCCAAATAGTACGGAAAAAAGAGCTTCAACAAACAGAAAACACAACGAACCTGATGAAATCCAGGATCAGATGGAACCAATGATAGTACAGCTCCATGAACTGTACGGCTCTTACGTAGTCGAAGAGATTGATTCGATAATATAATGCCAGTTGGACCTAACACTTGTACATCAAGCTCATCGACTCGTACCTCACTGCCTTCGGCAAATGCCAAGTCCAAGTTCACCTATAATCCTCATGAGTTTACATTCAAGTAAAACAGAACCGTACCTGTTGGTTTGTGAAACATTGCGTTACAGAAAGACTTTGTTGAGGTCCAACTGCTAAAACTGCTGCTACTAATGCCATAGTACCTACAACATACTAGTACATACACATACTTCATCGAGTATTCACCTAGATGCTCTCCTTGTGGATCAGCTAAATCGTCAGCTCCAACTAAAGATGCTACACCTAGTTGTAGTGCTGATTCAAGACCTGAATGAAACCATAACTTGAGACAATTCATAAGTGTACTTACATGAAGTTATATTATCTACACAATCTCTGAAAGACTCGAAACTCATTCTAGCGAAATCCGGAACCTGAGAAAAACATTACATTTTTGAATAATCATTGCAAAAAGTACCTGTCCTCCGACAGCTTCAATCAAAAGGGCGAAAAGGTATCCATCACTCCATGATATATCAAAATCTTGCACGTCACATTCAGGTAGCATCTTAAAAAGTGAACTTGAGAAAGAAAAAAGTGAAAGAACTGCATACCAATTGGGCTCGTTGAAGTGTGGCTCGGTATCCGGGACCTTCACGTTTAATAAAATATGAAAGATATGTTATACATGAAAGCTCGTCCAAATGAATAGATGACAAATGGTCAGCAGATAAAATTTGAGGAACTCCTAGGTATTGTTCTGCGAGTTCTAATGCTCGAGCACAGTTCTCTCTCCTGAATTTACAAAGATTAATATGAATTGAACACATCAACTTACGCATTCCTACTATCAAGTCTTGACCATTCCGGGCAAAGACCAGGTTGGCAATATTCTAATAAGGCAGACAATGCTTTTCCATCATTCCAGCTTGTTCGAAAGTTAACAAGTTTAAGTTCCGGCAAGACCGACTGAAAGGTAAATGGTGTGATAGTGAAATGAAATTCAAAAACAAGGTCTAAACTGCGTTACGTGGCGTATGCTAATTTCTGGCGGAGACGCCGTGTGGACGGTTTCAAATATTCTAATGTCACGTTGGCAAAATACGAAAACAAAAAAATCGAGCTCAGATGAAAGGAAATTTTTTTATAAATGAAATAAAGTATATAAATAGTATTATTGAATAATGCAAAAACACTCCGTCGAACCGGATTCGAACCAGTGACCTAAGGATATCAGCACTACTACAGTCCTCCGCTCTACCAACTGAGCTATCGACGGTTGAACACTTGACGAATGCAATTCATGAAGTTTGTGATGTGATTCAAGAGCTTTCCGGTTTGAACGCAAATTTATAAAAAGTGAACATTACCTGAATCCAAGCCATGACCAGCTTCTTCGGCGGTATCTTGGTACGCGAAGCAATCTGGTATCGTTGTACTAAGCACCATATTAGGCCAAGAATGAGCTTGGTATTTCCTTCTACTATATCGTGGCTTCCTGAAGCATTTCAAACTATTACAAACGATCTGATTGGTTCATAATCAAAATCATGTCTTTCCGCTTAGCTCTTCATGCTATAACGCAACTCAAAATTAAACAAAACAAAGTCGTTTTGCAAATTTCCATGGTCATGGTCATGTTTCTCGGGTTAAAAATCCTTTTCTTTTCTATGACGAATATTAGCTTTTGTCTGAGTCAGTTGAACACGATGGAGAGTAGCGACATTAAGCATCACATCAACGACACAAAGGTCAACAGTAAAGAAGAAGATAAATAAGGAGAAGCTAATCAACAATGAAATCAAACGCGAGCCGTCGCACTACTTCTCTTCTCGTAAAAGGTTTTCAATAGTAGGAGCAGTAGAAACCAACCTATATTAACTGTTTTAACTCCGTCTTCCCGAAGGGCATCAAGAGCCATTTGAACATTCATGAGTCTTTGTATCTCAGTTGGATTCTCATCATACACCTGTAACAGATAAGCCGTTTAGTCATCTTCGAATGTGGGAAACACCTTTCCAAAATATCGGCGACCTTGTAATGTCTCTACAAGCCTTATTAATAGAACTCCGTCGGCTAAGTCGTCTGATAAGTTTTTGATCACATTGCTTTGCATCTGAACAATCACATTATTTCCGTGGAATTCCTCTTCATCATGAGCCTATTCAATCATGTCTCAAGCTTGATAAGATTTTTTTTAGAAACTCTCTTGTCAATCTAGATGATTGTCAGATTTTTGTTTGTTTGTCAATAGACCTGACCGTTGGCGTTTTCTGTCATATCAACTTCAATCTAAAGGAGAATTAAGAAGACTCGCCGTTTGCTATGGCTTGTCCCCACCGTCCTCACAGTAGAACCATTCTCGCTCGCAAGAAAGGTTAATAGACAATGGGGGTTAGAGAGACAAGAGGAACGAAAAATAAATACAGAAATGGCCAACACATGGCTCAATACTTAGGCTAACTTGACTATGAAGTTTATAAACAAAATGCTCATAACTATAAAAGAAAATGGACAGTACCTGCTCGTTAATCCAATTGGAAAATGTGTTTAATTGGATATCAATCCATTGTTGCTGATGTTGGGGAGGAGACACCCTGCTATCCGATCCTCCAGCGCTGCTGTTGTTCATAATGGGATTGCAAGTCGAATTTGGCAAAACTGTAGTCGAAGCATAAGACAGTTTGAATACTCCCAAGAGTTGTTGTTAATCTTCGTTCGAACTTTCTATTCTCCTGAAATAAAAGTTATAAAAGGAACTACTTTGATACAACAACTGATGAATGGAAAGAGTCTCTGACTCAGATTTCTATAAAGCAATTGACAAACTATGGATAAGTAATTGCGTTTCGACAATACGAAGTGAACGTAAAATATTTGGTTAAATGAGAAACATTCGCAGCGATATGAGAAAAGTGCTGAGGGAAGAGGGGGTTTCGACAGATTAAGTTCAGTTTCTTACGAGACATGAAAGAGTTTTTTGCAAAGAACAAAGCAAACATTAAAAGTGATAACATAATTCTGAACAGTTACTGAAGAACGGTAAATGAATTTATGTTCGAGCCTGGGTGCTGGTGCTCCTCCTTTCATTTTCTTTCCATCATCATTCTCTGATGTACTGTTCCTAGCTCACTATCTCTCTATATCATTTTCTCTCGTTCTCTCTCTTTCTTTAATTCTCTTTCTGGTTATACATACGAAAAGAATGAGAGGTAGGAGGAGGGCAAACACGTCACATATAGTCACACAGACAGCAGAACTGAACACATTGCAGAAGGGAAAATACGGGAAATCTGAAACTACACAAAAATATGGTCAGGCAGGCTTCTGGACAGAACGATAGAGAAAACAATAGGTTCAGAGAGAAATTAATTATCAGGCTACATACCGGAATTATAGGATGTCTGCTTGTTTGCATGCACAGGAATTAAGAAAAAGCTCAAATAACTTGGCGAGTCACCTGAAAATCAATCAGACACATACAGTGACTTCAACAAGATAGAAAAGATTGATAAAGTAAATGAACAAATCTTCTGAAAACTATTTTTTCATATTTTCGAGAAGTAAACAATCACATCTCGCTTAATATAATCCTTAACCAAACACATTATTCGCCCATATTCACGAGTGCCAAGAATACTTTCAAAAATATTAATGAACTCGCTGGATCAGAATAGCATCAGGAGTCCGAAATAAACTCCTGAATGCCATTGCGGTAAAGAAGAGAAAGTAGTAACATGTGTGTTCTATAGTTAACTTAACTGGCATCTTGCAATTTTTGTAGGCAAATATTGGTCAAGAACAAATAGGAAACTCTGCCCTTAGCACTCTCGGCATCTGATCGATAGCCAGATCGGTTTTGTATACCAGCTTTTATCCTCTTATTCTAGAGTTGATATGCTATATTTGGCAGATTGATACAATAACAATCGGATATTGATTGCGATGAACAATTCTTTGAATTCTCCGTTCTCTCTATCAAACTCTCCCACATTGAGCATAAAACCGACCTACCTCATTAGGGATGAAAGATGTGCGCAACACATTTGGCAGTTTTCATTTCATTCCGACACTTCATATGGAGCGGTTGCATTCCTGAGCTCAATAGATCTGGGCTGAAAAAAGTGAGAAAAACTTCGAACAACAAGGAAACATTTTATTAAACAATTCGTGATTCACAAGGCATTAAAAAACTTTATGTTATCTCCTAGAGGCATACAAGCATTACGATACCTATACTGTATTGTAACCTATGGACATACAAGTTGCACCTTAAAGAGATAGCGCCTCTAATGACCTCTTACAATTAGTTTTTACTATTGCATATTACAGCCAATTCTACTACTTTTTGCTTTAGCTCTGCCTTCCTAATATCACTTCCCCTTAAAAACTTATTCTCACAAACTTATAAACCTCATCAAGTGAGCCTGACGTACTACACCCCACTTTCGCTAGCCTATGTCTTTCATTTATCTTAAAAATAGCTTTCTGTTATTCTTCCATTTATTAGATCATTACAAAACATAACTATTACAATTTTACTCCAACACATAAATTCAATTCAGAGAGCATAATTGAACGATATATTAATTATATGTCACACTCTCGGCATCTCAAACCTATTGGGACGCTATTTGGTCCCGACGCGATTAGGTGTTGTATGCGCGCGTCTATATATTTTTCAAATCGCTTGGCTTCACGGCTTTATGGAAATTAGCTTTATACTTGTTGTTTTTCATTTCAATTCGACATTTTGTTTACTTTTCATTTGTAGGAATGGTTCGTGTGAAACCATTGGCGCCTCAGAAAGCTGAGAAGAAGCGCCAATTGACTAACACATCTATCAATGGAGTGAGTTATGCTTCTGGTAAGTTCACACGCTCTTTTCAATAATTTGTTTCTTTCTTGAAGGCAGTACTCCCAGTTCACGTGGTTATTTTTCTTCTTTTAATTCAAATGGACCTCCAGTGCCTGATTTATATAGAAGAACGACAATCACAACCGAAGAGAGAGTAATGTACGATGACACGTAAGTGATATTTCATCTCACGAGAATGATATCGTATATTCAGTAATAGAGGATCTACAATGTATGACTCTCCATATTCTAAAATGTATAATACTGAGACATTAGAGTGAGTTGATCCAGCTAAGATGCTCTAGCTCAAGTTACCTTTTCCAGATATACCCCTACTAATCAGCTAAACAAGGAGAATCTAGGCTTCCAAAGCTATGCCAGGTATGGTACTAATACTCCTGTCGTTTCATTGTTTCTATATTCCAGACCTGCAAGAAATTATGAAACCCCCGAAACATCCCTTCTACCAGAAGAAGCTCCAGAAGGCTACGATTCTATCGATGATTATCAAGGAGTTACTATAGAGGTAACGCCACTACAAGAACCTTCTTGATACTTCAAATTTGCTTTTCAGGAAGTAGAATCATCCGATGAGGAGAGTGAGTTCGGAGATGGAGATAGACATGAAACGAGCCTTGCCCCGGCTCCTGTTCGACAGGCAGTTGAAACTCCACAACAGTTTAGAAAACCATTAAATAGGCAACAAAGGCTAGATGCTCTAGAAAGGGCGTCAACAATTTCAACTGTTTCTCATAATCGGCGTGGTAAGTATTACGAGTTAAAAGCTCTCATCTGTCTCATCTTTAAGCTAGTGTAAAAAAGATGAAGCAAGGCTATTTTCATAGGAAATCGCACAGTCGCCCAAGTTATAGACCTGGTGTTAAAGCTCTTCAAGAAATTAGAAAGTATCAAAAGACAACTAATATGTTAATTCAGAAGGTAAGCTAGATGTCTGGACACTGGTTATAACATTTTTGATTCAGTTACCATTCCAAAGATTAGTGCGAGAAATCGCGATTGAAATGGACGCCAGGAGTTGTGGATACCGTTTCACATCAGAAGCCCTGGCAGCTCTGCAAGAGGTTTGAAGAACTTGACCGTTTGTATCTTACCTTTCTCATTTCAGGCTACTGAAGCTTTCTTAGTCCAAGTTTTTACTGATGGATATTTATGTGCTGTACATGCTAAACGGGTCACCCTGCAACCAAAAGATATACAGTTGGTAAGAAGACTACAAAGGTGGTAGATTATCCTTATTATTCTTTAAATCTAATTTTTATTAACTTTCTCGTGTATTTATTCTTGTAGCTCAGGTGTGTGCTTAGGTTCTATTTCATAATCTGATAAATCAGAGATTAAACAAAAAATAAGTTCCTAAATACACTTGATAAGATTGATTTATATCATTCTATGTAATAATATGAGCGCAAAATCTACCATTTTGCCTGCTTTTTTGCTTTTGAACAATGCACATTGTATTATACTTGTCAATACTAACCTCGCTATGCTTTCTTCAAACTTTGTTAACTCAATTACATGTTCAGATAACTGATTGTACAGATAAAGGAGGTTATTTCAGCAACATACTGTTCAACTCAATAATAATATAAGAAACAACATTTTAAGAATTTTTATTGTTATCGAAGCAGTCATTGATACAATTCGACTGTGCCTACACCGCTCAACCTCCACGCGGCCTTTCGTCCAGACCACCACATTGTAAGTTTTGATTTAGAATTGACCTGGAGTTTGAAGTACATAAATCAACAATACAGTAGCAGTGATCTTAATGGAGTATAGCTGCTTATGATCTGAAATGACTATGTGAAGTCGAAGAGCTGAACTTCATTGTCTTACTGTATTGTTTAGTGAACACGCTAAACCCATTCTTCCGGAAAGACAATAGGGATACTGGTTAGAAAGACTCATCATAAATAGCTTTCTTCACCCGCTCCGAGCTACCCGTCCGGTCCATCTCATAGCCTTCACCTATTGCCGCTCACCTAAAAATATATTATCATAGGAATCACAGAACGGTTGCATTCATCGGATGAAGATAATGATCACTTACGTTTTTAAGGTGAAAGGAGGAGAGGGCGTTCCAGGTCTTTACCCTAGTTGAGACTGAACCTGTAAGTCACTGTATGTTATTCATTCAAGTATCAATCGATAAAATAATAGAATAGAACGTGTTAAACATAGTTACGACTTCAATGTGAGTTGAATGGGTTTTACATAAACTTAAGAAAAAAAGAACATCTTCGTTCCTGAGTTTTAGGAGTAAAAGTATACAATACAACGTTCTTATGAAAATTTCCATGCTCGGAACACTGGATGTACTAGAGAGAACAGCGGCACTGCCAGGCGCCATTACATTTCACTGGATTGCACTTGTGGAAGAGATAGATAGATGATGGTTTAGAGAAGAGATGTGCTTCACATTGGAACGCTTGCGAAACATACGAACTCGGTAATCATTTCATTCAGAAAAGGAACGTAGCAAACAGTAAAACAATAAGCCGAAGATCTGAACTATTTATAGATGTTGTTCAGTAAGTGATTTCATATAATGCTCTTCTACGAAAAACAGGAACAGACTTACAGTGAGTAATGCTGCTGTTTTGTACTTATTGTAGCACTGAAGGAAAAACATGTCATCATCATGTTCTCGAAACATATGTATCTCTATCTCCTAGTGCGTCCAATTCAAGAATAGGAATGGGTGTTCGAAGCTATGAAGCGAATGTGAAACACGACCTCCAGTTCTTTCACAGTCATCTGCGACCGCTCAAAAGAAGATGGAGATTAATGGCGATCAGGAAGATGATTTAACCTCTGGAGGCGTTCAGCGCAAAAAGAGTTCATAAATTTTAAGTTAAGGAAATTGTAGAAATTCTAATCGAACACGGGGAGCTGTTAGATAAGATTGCACAGCGTTCTGGCTTTGAACATCTATTGGTCCGCTGCACAGCACGACATGGCACGTCATGTTCTTAACTGATGCTTCTCACTAAAGGAAAAATATTGAAAAGAAGATTAAAGCTTATTTTAGGGGTACGCGAAATATCAGGATTACAGCATCTAAGCCTAGAAACTAGAAAAGAAATATGGAAAAATTCGCATGATATCATTGAGATGCACATCGTTAGTGTTAGAAGTTTTGAACTGAGTAGGCGAGGAGCATTGAACGAAGAGTTCGTGGCCTCTGGAATACGAACTAAATTGAGAATAACGAAAGTGGGAGGAGTGAAAACGATGTTCGCATTTCTGGAACTGTAAGAGAAAGGAGCATCAAATCTCTTGCACCAAATAAGAAAGTCTGAACACAAAGAAGAGGGAAAGAAGTGAAACGATTGGATGAGTGATGGATGCGAATGTCCGAAAGTACAAACGAGAAAGCGAAACTGTATGGATAGAGAAAGAGAGAAACTACGCTTACTACGTTCAATTTCGAAAAAAGAACGCCTGAGTGACCATATCTAGAATTGAAATCGTTCAGTGTTCTAGAAAAGTGAAAGTTAGCAGGCTAGTAGGTGAAGGCCGAGCTCATCAAATGTTGAAAATTGCTTTTTGCGTTCGTTGTTTGTAGGTTATTTCAGCTACGTGTAAAAGATGTCGAAGGTTCGAAAAAAATAAAATGCAATGTATTCTTCGAGTGGTCTAGATGAGCTAGAAAAATAAATGCGAACGAAAGGAGAGATGGTCAAACTAGGCCGAACGGTGGAACACACGAAGCGTTCATACGTTCGCTTTTGAAACGGAAGAATAGAACAAACAAGGTGAAGCGCTTTATAAGTTGACATTAAGGGATTGAGAAAATAGTCCAAAAAAGCGGACGATGACAATGCAGGGTTTTCTTGGACGTAGTCACCTGCAAGGATGGCTTTGGAAAAGAAGCGGATCGAGCATAGTATTAATTTTATGTTTCAACTCGATGATTATTATATACGCAGCGTTTTGTTAATTGGATAGCCTCAACAAATTCTTTCGACGATTGATTGTTCCAATGAGAGTGGGGAGAACTTTCGTTCAAATAGAAAATCTATGTAACTCTTACTGAAGTATGACGAGAGTAAAAGCGAATATAACTGAGTCAGAGATATCAGGCGAATATACGAAGAAAGAGGAAATATAAATATATATATATATATACATGAGTGTGCACATATATTGCATACATGACAGAAGAAGAATCGGTTACACTGGTGAAGTCAAAAAATGGAGAGCTCTCCTAGAAACCAACCGCTTCCTGCGTAGACATGATGGCAAATAACTATTTGCAAGCGCGTTCATTCTAAGGGAGCGGTCAACAAGAACGTTCAGCATGAAAACTCTTTGTGGGACAGTGGTGATGGATAGCGCCCAACGATAGTTAGTATAGCAGACTTCGAACATTCCGAATCAGCTCAATTTTCATGTCAAGTGTTCAAGTTTGCCATCAACTGATATGACTCGGTGATACTGCATATGGTTTCATAGCCTCACAAACGATAGTTCTATAAGGGAACGTGGAACGGCTGACAAAAGATGTCTAGAGATGGACTGGCTGACTAGCAAAATGAGAGAGAGGGTGCAGGCAGACCCTGGCCGGGTACCGCATGGCACCCCGCGCCCTCAGCCCACTCTCCGGCTCTCTATCGCGCTTGCAATTGAGATACAGCATTGATGGTGGAGAGGCCAGACAATCGAGCTGAACTGACCGCACACAACTAGCGACAACCACAACCACGACGGACTTAGACATACAGCTAAATTCAATGAAGAAAGAACGATGAAAGAGAAAGGAAAAAAAAGAAAATTGAAAAAAGACCATAGGGCAATGGAAGGGTGCACGAAAAAAGCGAACACTAGACATGTCTGTATGCGAACGAACTCCAACGCACCTAACATAGCCTGGCCAGACCATAAGAGGAATGGTTTCAATAATTCGGAATGAAAGCTGCCTATGCCGACTAAGCTGGATGGATTAAGTGTTAATCTTCTCGCTTATAAAGTTGAGAAATGCAAAATTAGCTGATGAATATTGTCTTCAATACGTTATGAGATGAGAAGGGTGTCTAGATATGTTGATGAGCAACACACAGAGCAATCATATCGATAAACAGTTTGGAACAGATAAATGAGAAGACATGATCAGTGAGAGTGAGAGAGCACGCTTGCCGAACACTCTCAAGTCATTTCTCTTCTGGTGAGTATAACAACCACTAGTGAACACGAAAAGCAACAAAACTTTCAGCAATACTTTATAAGATCTATATTTATATATATATATATATATATATATGTATTCAACATTAAGATTAAGTACCCATACTCGAATGATCACATTAAATGGAACTATGATAAAGAGATTGAAAGAAGATTGGAAACTTTCGTTGTTCAAGAATATGTACAAAGATCACGTATGACAACTGCTTGAAAGCCTTCCTCTTCCACCATCTACAAACACTATGCTTCAACCGTAGTAGGAGTAAGAGTGATCTCAGTTAAGGGAAAACTATTAGAACCGTTGGTTGAAGCATTAGTAGTAGTGTCTGTGATGGCTGATATGGATGGGTGAAGTAGTATATCCTCTAAGGATATTCGTTCGTCGGGCGACATAGCCCAACACTTCTTCATGATTTCATAAATTTCAGAAGGACAAGCATTTGGTCTAGGCGGGCGCATTCCTATAAATTGTGAACAAAGATTAGAATATCAATGTATATTAACTAACCAGCCATAGCATAGGAAACTACTTCATCATTTGTTAATGTGTCAAATGGAACTTCTCCATAGCTGAATATTTCCCACATAGTAACACCAAAAGCCCTAAAATTTATATTGCAGAAATAAATATGCAAGTGCTCCCTACCATATATCGCTAGCATGACTAAACTTATGATTCGAAATGGCTTCAGGGGGCAACCATCGCACAGGTAACAACGATTGATTCATCATCTGATAATACTCCGCTTGATAATTCAGCTTCCTCGACATGCCGAAGTCAGAAATCTGCAAAAGGTTCATATTATCAAGTCCCCGAATTCCGATTGGGCCATGTTTTCAACCATACAGGTATATGAGAAGCTTGTAGCATAAACTGATCTACAAAATTCTGGGATATATATCTTATCATATAACAGTTTTGACAATTGTTTTGTGCAGAGCTCATACAAAATAATGTTGCCGGAGAAAACTGAATGTTCTCCAAAGCATCATGAGAAATCTGATAAAATCTTTCCTACAAAGAAGCTCTCCTTCACTTCCAAAGCAACAGTCGAAGAGAACTCGTAAGCTTGTTCAGATACGTGCACACACTCACACACACCACAAGCATACTTAATGCTCGACTTATTCCAAAAATTAGTTTGTAAACCTATTTTCTGCTTGCTCACAAGCCGAAAATATGATTTAAACGCAGAAGCAGCCGATGCTTCAACGGAAGACTAAAGCTCAGTTGAATTACCTTCACTGTTATCTGCGGACGCTGACTAGCTGATGTGCATCTTAAATCAGACTTCCCAGAAACAAGACAGTTCCTTGCTGCTAAGTCTCTGTGAACAATTTGCTGAGCTCCCAGGTAATGAACTCCTTTCGCAATCTGCAAATACTTGATCAGTTAAATGTTGCAAGCCTCCAACTGACTTCTCGCAAAATAAATTTGAGCTCTCTCAGTATGAGGGCAGGTGGAAACTGAGAATAATTGGTTGCCTGTGGAGCTCGGCTTTTCAAGTAAGATCTGAGATCGCCTGAAACATTCGCTTGATTGTACAAAACATGAAGTGTTCAACAAACCTAGATTCATCATTTCAAAGACCAGTAATAAGCGAGTTCCATCCCTCGTCATTCCATACAATCTGACTATATTTGGATGATCCAAGCTGCATAGTACTTGAGCCTGAAGTATATCGTCAATAGAAAGTTCCCGTATTTTCTCATTTCATGTTTTCGTTGGAAATAATCTTCACACACTTTATCAAAACAAAAGGCAAAAGTTTCTGCGAAAATATGCTGAGATGGAAATACTGTTAGTATGATATGATGACCAAAATATGAGGAGATCTGCCCACCTCTTTTTCAATCTGTTCGTCCGCTTGATAGATGGCTTTCACTGCTACACTCCGTTCTCCCTTTATGTCCCATGTTCCACAATAAACTTCTCCGAAAGCACCCTGAATAGAAAGTTGAAAAGAGGAAGAACAAAAGAGAGAACCCACCTTTCCAATACGCTCATGTATCTTAATACTAGCTCCGTTTATGCTAGGAATAATCTGTCCTGAATAATCCGAAGACGAAAGAGAAGCTCGTTCTTCTGAAAATATAGAAAGTTAAACCCCTTCACATTTGAGAACTGCGATGAAATGGCGAAATTATGAAATAATACTTCGATATAATGATATTACTCAATGAAATGAGAACTAAAGTAATTATAGAAGGCAAAATTATTGTTTTGCTAAGTTATGTCCCCCGTGCCCGATTCTCGAGAGTTTTCAAAAAAAACTTTGTTTTCAAATAAATAGTTCAATTTGGATACAACTTTCAGAGTAACAAAACGGATTGTGTGTCTTGTGAGAGCTGGCAATATGCTTTTTCAACTTCTGTTAACAACCAATTTGCACCAATTTATAAGTTCCACTTTCGAAAATCGAAAGTTTCGAAAGTTTGTCTTATACATCAGCCAGCGATGCATAATAACGAACTATGAAGTCAAAAGGGTAAGAATGGCAGAGAGACAATAAAATTAAGAAGAAAGAGAGATCGAACATACCCAGACGAAGCATAGTTTCTTCGGTCGAGAGACTTGCTCGACGTCCACCAGTTATTCTTCGTGATATCCTCAATGCCATCTGCAACATACCATTCTTAAATATTCTGTTCAAGCTGGAACTATTGTGTAACCGACCTTGTTCCTCAGAATACGTGTTTTCATATATCGCAAATTAATAAAAATTATAATTGGTAGAGCTACAAAGAAGCACAACACGCTTGCGAGAATCCAAATTTTTGCTTTGTTGCTAGCAATATCCTCAGATAAGAATGACTGCAAACACGAATCATGAATTTGTGACGAAGAAGGATACAACAAGACCTTTGGCATTTTCATGTAATGAAATGCTGTACGACATTGCATATCGCTCTCTGTGTTGTTTTTAATTAACTTTGTCTGGAACAAGATTGTAAAGAAGCTATAACTTATGATTTCGAACATTAGCTGTTTCGCTAGTCTGATTACATATCGTGAAAGAAAAGTTCCCTGAGTTTATAATTTGATCATGTTGAGCACCAATCGTATACAAATGAGATCGAAGGTAGATCGAGAAAACCCGTTTATCGAATGTGGAATGTCTGCAATTATGCAAGTTCTCAAAGTTCAACCGGAAAGGTTCGGTTACGCTTTTTCAGGACGAATATACAAAACATCGAATAGATTAAACTTTGATTCATCTTCTAGCGAGAGAGGGAGATCATGTGACGAGTTGAACTGAAATTAAGAATCTGCATTATCATGGATGCAATGTAACGTACTTGGCCTGTTCCATCTATGACAGTCAACGTCAAGAAATTCAAAGGATGTCCTGACACTACCAAATGACTCAAATCCGTTTTCTTTTCATCATCTATTATGGCCACTTCCAGCGCTTTTTCCATATGAATCTGTAATTTCCAAATATATATAACAAATAATTTGGAAAATGAAATTTCGACTCAATTTCATTGCGGAGAAATTATTCCAAATATTTTCCAAAATGTGTAGCATATTTATAATTAACCGGATATCTCTGATAGACGTTCAAAGCCCATTTCATTTCACATTAAGATTAAGAGGATATTGCGAAGATTCAAACTTATGCAAATTAGATCCACGTCAACGTGTAAATAAGAATGTGGCTCCATTTCATTTCTGCATACGTCATGAGCGGTTGTTTCGAAGCTCAAGCGGAACTCGAAGGTGTAGTATGAACACCACGCATTCGCGTTTTTTTTTATCAAAATTGAATTAGTCTCCACATCTCAGAGAAGCTCTTCAGTAAGTGTTCCAATTTGCTAACGGAAACAACTCTAATTACTATCATTATATACTCGCTCATCTTCAGAGTGAATTCTTCATTTGTTTTGACAATGAGGCACACACAACGTAGTCTACAGCTTCCTTTGATGGACTGCATATCTATACTCAAATTGATTTTACTGAAAATGATGGAAAGCTTCACCATTGTGAACTTCTTAAACGTCTGACTAGCCTGTAAGTTTCGCTAAAATGCTTGAACTAACTCATAGCTATGGGTGCAAACCTAGAACATCGCTCACTATCTTTTTTACTACTTTTCGTATTCTATAGTTATGTTCCAATCGTCTAACAACAATCTGTCGTGACAACGAGATAGAATTTTAGCCTTTACATGTATAAAATGGCTCTGACGCTGACTTTTCTTTGTTTTCAACGTTTACCAATCAATGTGAAAGAAGTTCAGCAGCTTATGAAGAAATTGAATAACACGACTTCCTCCGTTCTTTCTTACCGCTGCTGGGCAACAGGATTATGATAAAGATTAGCCAGTCGTGTGTGAAGCCAACCGAATAAGAAATTCTCCTTAATTACATCTTATTGAGCCTAGATTGTGTTCTATAACTCACTATACCCAACTCATTCGGATTACCAAATAATTTATAGTATCATATTTGCTTTCTCGCAAATTTCTTCAATAATAATGCCATTAGACAAACTCAAAATAGATATAGGCCGAGCAAAATCGAAATCCAAATGTAGGCAAGACAGGAATCCCATTGATTAATGAATAATAATTAAATGGTGGGTGGAAGAACCACAGCCTCTTCTAGTATATGAGTTATGTCACATCCGTTGGCTTTCATCATTCATAACAAATATTATTATACTCGAATTTGTAAAGATATGAATGAGTTTAAGCAGAGCACCTGATCCATTGAATGGTCCAATTTCAAACATTAATTAATTTATGAACTGATAGAAGAAAGAGAGAGCCAAAGTGGCAGTTGGGTGGTTTTCGATGCGAGATATCTACGAAGCTACTTTTGATGGAGAAGCTTACTCTCCTGAGTAGTGCTGGAAACATGTCCAAACTTCATCTACTTTGATCCCCGGCAGTCAATAGTGCTGGCATGCTGTTTGAACTTCTGACCAATACGGAGTAGTGATCGTCCCAGAAAAGCGGAAGACGGAAGATAGCAGCAGCACACTTTCTAATTTCTGCTATTATGACCTGCAGCCTTATTAGTAGTCACGAAATAGCGTTACTCCTAATGACATACACTTTCTCTACACGCACATTGAAGTATTTCTTCCGTCTTCAGCAACCCAGCTTCTTGTCTTGCTTGAACAACCTTCCTTCAAGCCCTCTCCCTCTTCGGGCATCATCATCTTTTCTTTTATTCTCTGCCAGGCAAGCAGGATAATCAATAGTGAGCCAGCCATTCTAACATATCCCTATTCAAAATAATCAAAATGTTGGAGCCCAAAAGATCAAGTTTACAAGACAAGCTTGACAAGCTTGACAAAGGCATAAATTTGCGATACTTATCAGGGCTCGAGTTAACAACGCTTCACGTTAATATATGGCCTTGTTTTATGAACTATTTCTAGCAAACGGAGATCAAGTTTGATGAGGTTTCTAATTTGGGTTTCTATTTCAACCCTCCAACAAGCGTGACGTCATAGGAGGAGAATAGTTTTGAAGCCGAATTATAGCGATTGGATAAGCAAACTGGTCGGGCTGAAGAAGCACCCGTCAAAACCTTCCGTAATGACGTATTACTGAAGACAAAGACTATTATAGTTTATTTTGAAATCATTCACGCAAGACAGAGCGAAAAAACAGCACTTTGCTCTTCTAACTCATCAGCTCGCTTGCTTTATAGTAAGATAGAAGATTAGGAAAATTGATGGAAGAGCATCAGAACCAATAGGTTTTTCTTGTGGTGTCTCAACCAAATTAGTAGGAACATTAGAACTTGCCAATTCAAGAGCACAAAGAAACCAAAACGACACAAGGCCCTCAGCTTCATCTGAAGGTTTTCAAGCTGACGTTGTGAAAACCACTTGACGAAGAAACTAAACTTTGCGCTTGAACATTAAATTTTAAAAGTTCAAAGTGGCGCTGGTGCAGTGTTCCTGATCTTTCATTTTTCGGAAACACTTCGATTAAATGTTTTTCGACGACTTGTAGCGGATTGATACCGAGGAACTAATATCCTCAAAAGCAATCAGACAGCGTATTAAAACTTTAACAAGACGTGAAAGAATTGAGTGAGATCCTGCCTCAGATCCTTAAGAAGCATATGAAGAGATAATCCCACGTCAAGAGAGATGAAAAGGAGAAAAAGTATGTGATGTTAAAGAGGGTCTAAAGAAGTTGTGGGAAAGGCAAAGCTCACATCCGAGAATTAGAAGCGCTAATAGAGAAATCTCGGAGTGTTCGATAATTTCTGCAAAATTATGTATACATATGAGCATTAAACATCGCGGAAACAATATAACAACTAGGGAGTTAGAGTGACGCCGAAAAAACAAAACTCTACTCTACTACCCCCCCCCCCTCCTTCACCCGTAAACTGAATGAAATCTGGGACGCAAATATTAACGAGTACTCGACAGACGGAAGAGTGTGCAGATAACTCTATGAGATATTGAAGTTTACAGAATTTATGAGCCGGCATTATATTTCCACAGCATAATATATGAAAAGGATGATGAATAAATTGCCAGAGTATACATTGGACATGCTCCATGCGAATTTACTAACTTCACAGAATAAAAGAAACATCTGCATAGCTCGAAACTCAAAGAGCAGGTGTTTCACCCATTTTCTCCGTCCAAGAAATAGATTATTAAATTCTTCTTACCTCAATTGAACTACTTAAGGGCTGCTCGCAATGCCAACACATGAATTTCACATGGCCCGTCATTTCATTTGCAGCAGAGTCGATATGTAGACGAACCTCCCGGGCAGAGACAAACTCAGTTCCATTGTGTTTTCTCATTCCGGGGAAGATGAAATACTGTCTGCAAATTATGGATTCATATCATGTCGTCTAAAGCGAATATCACAAAGTAGCATGTTCCTTTACTCATGTTTTAAACATGAACATCGCTTGAAACAAAGCTACGATGCAAAATTGATTCGGAAGAAAATTCTCCTCATAAACACTCACCTGTTAACCGTTAGATTTTTGAAAACATAGCCACCTACGACACGGAAGACTACGTCAAAGGAAGCTCCAGGCTCAACATTGATGACATCATGATCAGTCAGAAGCTGTCCGATGGTACAGTTTAACACTTTACCTTCACAGAAGTTGCCTGAAGGCAGTGTCAAACGTAAGTGATGAGATGGCAAATGTGAAATCATGTAATAATTTGCACAAGTACACATCAGTGGGCATTTGCTCAGATCCACATTAACCTTACTAGACGTCACAGACTGCCACATGACTTCAGTCAAGCGACATGTTGGCAAATTCAATTCGAATATATTTTTCGTGTCTATCAACGAAAATGGCTGAACTGTCGACACATCGCACAACGTTGTCACTGATACTTGTGGACAACTAGCGGTTGAGGAAGCCTCGAGTAAATCCATACCAGATATGGTTCCATTGGAACACGGGATGGATAATTTGCATCCAAAACCAATTGTGAATAGGCAAAATAAAAAAAACATCATAGATCATCATATCAGAAACAAGTTCATTAGAAAACAAATAACAGTTTTGAATTAAGCCTCGGTCTTCTTAACATGCTTCTTCGACTTAGGCCGTTGGGAGCGAATGATGGCAGAGGCAACTCTCTGGGCCAGCTGAAATCGACACATTGGGCGGAGCTTGCACACCACTCATTAACCGGCACGCGCGCAACAACTATTTTCGCAGGAACTATAGCAAAACTCCAAAAGGAAATTTTAATAAATGACTAGCCGTTGCGCTCTGCTCTCAGTTAATCATCTCTTACCTTAGCTTGACTTCCGAGTCCCAAGTTGGAGGCAAGATTTCCAATAGACTTGGTGGTCTTCATGGGGTTCTTGAAAACTTGAGTCTTGACGCTCTTGGCTGGTTGGTTGGCCTTTCCTGCAGATATCATAAATAATAATTGGATTCAACATTATAAACATACCAGATTTCTTGGTGGATACAACGACTCCCTTACCGTCCTCAGCGGCAGAGATATCCAAACCCTTCTTGTTGATCAAACCGTTGAAGCGTGGGCTGTTCTTACCGAGAAGGTTGAACTTCTCAACAGAGAAAGGCTTCTGGATACCTCTTTGGTATCTGAGGAAGCAGCTGTTCTTTCTGATGATTTGCCAGGTAAGTTCAGACATTATTACCTAAAAGACAAGAATGAACAAACATGAATGTTGGAAGCAGAAAATCACAATGTTCGACATAGTCAAGCGAGAAAGTACGTGAAAAAAACAAAATGAAGCTGACAAAAAGCAAAATGAGCAGCATTATAGTATGGAAAATACAAAAGTAAACAAAAAAACAGTACCTATTTCTAAAAAGTATTATAATGACTAAAAATATATATAAAATTGCAGAAATGTGGAAATTCTCTCCAAAGCCAGACACTGTAAAAGCCGTTGCGGGACTAATTGTGCGTTCATTGGTCATGATGGTGAGTGAGCATATCTGACTCAATGACGTGAAGTAAGAATTTTCAAATGATAATTCAGTAATTGTATATTGTTAGCTTAAGAATATTTCAAAACAAGCTGCATATGATCAATAGTTGTGAAATACATTGATTTGATAGAGAATTCCACAAATATATCTGAACTTATAAGCTTGTTTATCTATTGAAATAATCGATATTTGACACTTTCCATTTTAATATTCAGATTTCATTTTTCAGTTGTATGTTCTTTGTTTCCGGTTTATTATGATTAATTTGGGAATGGATAAGGAATATAGAGATGAATTGCCTTCTAGTAGTAAATGGGTTACCGAAAATTTTGTCTTAGGAGATATTTTAGGATCAGGTTTGCTTAATATTCCGATATGTTTCTCGAAATGTCGTTGCTAGGTACTTTTGGAAAAGTTTATACTGTTGAATGTAGGAAAAAGCCAAACACCTTATATGCTTTGAAAGAAATTTCCAGAGGTTCCTTACCTCGTTATATTGCTTCAGAATTGAAGGTTTTATTGTTTATTTTGGAAAGAGACAATTGTTTGATGTTGTTAAGATTATGAAACAACTTGGAGGGTCGCATAATGTTATGAATGTTCATGCTGCTTTCCGTGAAAAAGATCGAGTCTTCATTATCATGGATCACTTTCCACACGACTCACTAACGGTACAGCCAACAATCCCATCACGCACTATATTCCTCTCTAATGCCAAGTTTCAGACATTGCTTGGAAGTATGACTGAGTCCGAGAAAATTGATTACATGAAAAACCTTTTTATATCACTCGACTTCTTACATAAAAATAATATAATTCATCGGGATGTTAAACCGGCAAATTTCTTGTATAACAGACGAGCTAGGAAGTAAGAGTTCCATTCACAACTTATCACATTTCTATATTTAAGATTCGCTTTAATTGATTTTGGTCTATCTCAAGCATATGAGCCTAAACCTATGATATCTAACCGTGAAAATTCAATTAGAAACGTCCTATCTGTTAGTCTTTCAAACAAATTTTCTTCAAATCATCTAATTTTGTTCAGCCGAGGAAGAGAGCTTCCAAGTGCTTAGCACTTTCAGACCAAGGCGACGATTTCGACACTAAAAAACGAAAGTTGACTTGTGATTGCACTGGTGTCTCCCAGGTTTGTCATCATTGCGTCCATCGGCCGAATAAGACAGTTAATAAGGTTTGCTACAACAACTCATAGTTCTCGTTCATCATCATAATCAGGCTGGAACTCCTGGCTATCGTGCTCCGGAAATTTTGCTCAAATTTGATAATTGTTTTCAAACTCCAGCTATTGATATCTGGGCTGCTGGAATAACCTTGATGGGTCTGCTCTTTCGGAGGTAATACCCTGCTCTTGATGTTATTCATAGCTCTTAACAAATAGGAATCCCGTGTTCCGACCTGCTGATGACTTCGAAGCTATTGCTCAGCTTTGCCAAGTTTTCGGAAGCGCTCCATTGGAAGAAGCTGCGCGTTTGCGGGGGACAACACTGATTATGCAACCAAGTTGTCCGGGGGTAGATTTAGCTAAGCTAGTAAGTGTGACTGAATATGAATCAATCAATGCTTATCCTTCAGATGAAAGCTGTAAGACCGGGTATAGAAGTTTTGGATGGTCCGGGTGATAGATGCAACACATGTGCTAAAATGTTTTTCGAGAATGTCAAGGGTAGATGTTTATGTGAGTGATTATCCATATGTATGCTTGAAACCTCTTTGTGTTACAGGCAAGTCGGGAGAACCATGCTCATTAGAAGGTTTGAATGAAGAAGAGCGTTTATTGATAGATATACTCATACATTGCTTACAAGTAGATCCGGTGAATAGGTTTAGGGCTGATATGATTTTGGATTTAATCGAAATGAGACGGTTCTGAATATCTTTTAGTTATACTTGGTGTTTTCATACTTGTTTTAAACCCTTGTTCTTATTGGTTTGTTTTCGATCATCCCTGTGTTTCTTTTCTTACGTGTACATATTATAAGCATCATGTTGAACTTCGCAATGATTCAAATTGGTCCTCTGGCCCATATTCATATCTGATTCACTTTGAAGTATGTTGTCTAACCGATATTTAGATGAGACGAAAACAATCTGAGAAGACAGAATATATTGATGACACTTCTTCTCTTACGTTGACCGACGAAGGTTCTGCTGAAACCGAACAAGTAGATCCAGAAAGGTATTAGTAGAGCTCGTTTTATTCTGTTATGTCCTGGTTTCCAGTTCACGACTGCAATCCAATTGTCATCATGTAACATCTTCGATTGCCGTGCTTAGTAGAGAGGAATTAATATCATTACAGCAGGTTTGTCATTGTATCTTCAAGTGAACTGACATTACTTCTCATATAGAAGAGCTGTGAGTTATGTCCTGATAACGAAAAGTCACGATGGGGATGCTTGCATCCTTCATGTGCTTCCTCGTTTTGTGGACTTAAAGAGTTTAACCATGTATGTGATCATCATAAGGTTAGTCCCCCATTTGAATCGCATTCACATCGTCCGCCCATATTCAGAATAATCCTGGTCATAACATATTCGTACATTTGAGGAATAACAGGCTTTTTTGCTACAATTGCGAAGTAGAAGTTGATAAAGATAACAACGTTGTGCCTTTATCAGAGGGGGTTTGTCATTCTACAAATAGTTTCACCTTCCTTTTCGTTCAGTTTCGACGAACTTTAATAAGTCTCAAGCGAGGGCGGCAACGAGCCTCTTCGAACTCCCCACAAATTAAGCAATCTTGTTCGGAAACTATTGAAATGCCCGTGTCAGAGCCGAAAAAGGAGCAGTCCAATTATGTAATGTTCATACTCAAAATGTTTTTCATTCATTGTTGCTTGTTTAGGATAGGACGAGAGGGCCGGCATTCCAATATTGGTCATTACATAGTCGAGCATATCTCAAGTTCCTTGATGACTCGTATGAGGACGATTTCCCGAAAGGTGCGACCAATCTTTATCAGCTCTATTTGTCCTTTTAGGTTTAACTGGACTCAATAACCTTGGGAACACTTGCTATTTTAATGCTGCTATACAAGTACTTTCTAGCTGTCCCCCTTTCTCAGATTTCTTTCGGGACAAGGTTTGTGGGTTGAATGGTTCGTTCGGTAATGCGGTATTTAGGATGACTTAAGGCCTTATGCCGTCGGAGAGCCCGTTGTAAGTAATCAGATGGCCCAACTTATCCAAAGGTTGTGGAGTCCTGATCGAGAATCTGCCATATCCCCTAAAGCTTTGTTAACTCGTGTAAGAGATATGTTTCCTCAATTCCGTGGTTGGAATCAACAAGATGCTCAAGAATTAATACGTTGTTTATTGGAACTTATACATAGGTACCCTTGTTTGTGAAGTTAGAAGCATACTTTTCATTTTTACAGAGAATTAGCTCAACCTGTGTATCCTTATGAAGTTGAATTTTTAAATTCTGGGTCTCAAAGATCCGCTAGACATAGTTCGACCAGCTCGAATGATAGTGAACAGTAAGACCGCTTATTGCATTCGTCATTCTAATCCTAGATCTCTTAGATTTGAAACGGCTGATAGTGGTTTGAGTTCGGATGGAGAAAGCCCATCCACCTCTAACGACTCTAGAAGAGATGGCCAGACTTGTACTGAACGAGGTTTGTATTCAACTATATTTCTATTGTTAATGCATGATGCAGAAAAAGTACGTTCGAAGAAGTATGAGCCCTGCTTCTGGAGATCAATCGTCACTGATGTGTTTGATGGAACTATTGAAAGCGGTGTTAAGTGTTTAACTTGTCAAAACGTGTCTACTACTACTGAAACATTCCAAGTAAGCTAAGGAAGTGTTCTTGCTACTTCAATCGAACCTTTTCAGGATTTATCTTTACCCATACCTAGTAGGGAGCAATTGGATAAGCTATCTGATGATCTCGATGAAGAAGGAAATGTGAAACAGAAGGACTCTGTAAGCGAATCCTTTATATGAATCAACTCAACTGTTTGTTTTAAGTGGAGCTTATGGTGGTCATGGCTTTCGTCTTTCTCTTCACTTTTTGTTTCTCCCAACACTACTTTAGAAGATTGTTTAAAAGCATTCTTCAGCCCTGATAGATTAGTTGGAGATGATATGTACTCTTGCGAAAAATGCAAGAAGTGAGTCTCTATCATGTTTCTGATGTACAGTTCTCATTACAGACTTCGAAACGGAATTAAAACGTGTAGGATTAAAAGGGCTCCAGAAGTTCTCTCAATTCATATAAAACGCTTCAGACATGATTCTTTCTCTAGTGCAAAGGTAGCCTATACAATTTAATGCGTTTCTCATGCGATCTTTACTTAAGGTATCCACAAGATTAGCATTCCCCTTAGTAGATTTGGATATCTCTGAGTTTTGCATAGAGAAAGAAGGTACTCGTTATGACTTGTGTGGTTTTGTCACACATGAAGGCAGTGGAGCTGATAGTGGACATTACCTGGCCTACTGCCGTAATGAGAGTGATGGAAATTGGTATATCCTTACATTCATAATCATTATGTATATCACTCTTACAGGTATGAGTTCGATGACGCGACCGTGACTAAACTAGATTCTGCTTACGTTCTAACCAAAGAGGCTTATGTTCTTTTCTATCAAAGGCAGTTACCCCGACTCATCCAGGATGTGCGAGCAGAGGCTGAGCGTATGCTCTCTCCCGAAGCTGCTGTGAAAGTAGGACAAAATCCTTGTTATCTTGGTACTTATCATATTATAGATTAATCATCATAGTTATATCTCTACCGAGTGGCTTTTGAAGCTTAGTACATTCTCAAAACCTGGACATATCACTAATTATTCTTTCTTGTGTCAACATGGTCATCTTCTTCCCCGAAGAGCTGAGCATATATCGACACTGAGCACTCCAATCTCATCTGAACTCGCTGATTCTTTATTTTCCAAGTACGTTTCTCCCATAACCTTGAACAGATCGAAATCGCAATGTAGATTCGGAGGTGGTCCCCGTGTGAATAAACTGCACTATTGCCTTGTTTGTCACAAACGATGGAAACAACTTTGTGACAGAAAGAAGTCGGAATGCCAGCAATTCCGAGCACTGAAAGAGGAGGTCTGATAGTTGTAAACATCGTGAAACAAGTAATTGAATTACAGCTCGAGATGGCAGACTATTCTTATAACTACATGATGAGTTATCTCCCCAAGGTGGCCATAAGCCGATCATGGTACCAAGCCTGGGAAAAGTTCTTATTAGATCCTATAGCAGGTTGTTCTTTTATCAATTGGTGGGGTCATTAATTATACATTTCAGAACCACCGGGGCCCATTGACAACTCTTCAATTGTTGTAAAGTTACAAGACGGGACTACACGCTTTAAATCCAAATCAAGTTTCCATAGCTTGAAGAGAGAATTGTATTTGTTGCTGCAGAGTTTTTATGGTGGTGACAGCGAGGTATGTAGTTTGGTATTCTGCTTTGGTTTGCATATTGAGTTGTGAGAGTAGTGGTTGAATGAGATCTGTTTTGACTGAACCGAATTGTCTCCAGTTCGAGAGCGATTGAGAGAGATAACGTTAGATCATTCCCTGAATGACATTCTATTATGAGAGACACGTACTTTGAACTACTCATAATTCGTAGTTTGATTCCTAAATTGCGTTTTTCAAGTCTCCCTATCTATGTAAACGTTTTTGTATGTCAGTATTAATGTGCAGTATGGTCCAGTGTGAGTGATCTTGGTATAACGAACACCTTACTGGTTCGATTCCGGCTGGCCTATGAGAGATTACAACTATTACTTGAGCATATGTCTGATCATAATTGAATGAGAATCGTGAGACTGAGGCCTTTCATTTTCTGAAATTTGCATTTATGAAATTTGCAATTGACATCACACATGACTCCTCGAGTATAGAACTCCCTCACTTCCGTGATTGAGTGTCTGTTTCTCTCGCCAACGTAACTCCATGAGGGATATTATTTGTACTTGGATAACGGGTGCATCTTTTTGCGCTTCCCCTTACGCTTATCGCTGAGAACAAAGCCACGTTGCAAATTCCTTGGAAATACAGGTTTTTACTGATTAGTGTACCCATAGCAGTTCTTTTCTTACTATTTTTGTCATCTCAAGAAAGACAAGAGAGACTGCATATAATCAAAACTGGCACAAACACGCTTGATTACTGATCACTTAAAGTTTTCTGAATGAATTTCGGAAATGGACTCAATTTCATCTGTTTTCCAGGTGTTCATAATGGAAAGCCCTCAACCAACTGATGAGAAATCCCTAGCTCAATTCTTGGCAGCTGCAGAAGAAGCAGCATCAAAGGCCAAAATGTGAAAGGACGCGGAAATGTCAAGGAAACCTTAATCATTCATTTGTTAGTCATGACCACAGCTCATCAGATTCTCTATTTTTTTATTTTCTGAGCTCATTTTTTACAATCCTTCTTTCTCCCTCCCCCCGTTCGCCGGTGATTCCTCGTTGTCCTCTACACACACCCACTGGTGTCGTATTCTGATTTTCTATGTTCAAATGCGTACTTTTATACTTATTTTTTACTGGTTTTAATATTAGTCACGACACTTTGCTAATAATTCTCAAATGTCTAAGGTATTTCACTTGCTTGATGTAAGGAATTCAAAATAAAATAAGTTATCAAATACGGAGTTTGTCTAGTGGTGTTTGTGAGCGGATTTCGCACCAAACATCACCCTATTAAGGAGTGAAATTCACATCAGCAGCGCTCATATTTCGCAGGTGTACATTTAATCCAACAGCGAACAATTTCTTCCTTCACCCGCATCCCTATAGATTATGCTTGTTTACGCATAATATGTCATCTCAGTCTAAAGATCCTCTCTCTTTCGAAATACGCTGTTCTTTAGAAAACTGGATGATAAAGCCTATCGACCTAGAAACATCACGCAACACCATTTTATAACAACCTTTCAAGATTTCAGATCGTAAACAAAGATAAAGATGAAGCGGGTTGTGTAGGACGATAACTACTTCCTGTGCAATCAGTTCGATGGTTCGCAATGCCAATCATTTCAACTTTTGTCACCGCAGTCCAATCTTTAAATAGCCCTCCCTTCCTTAAACAGCCAGTATGTTACCCTGAATCATGTGCTAATCAATCAATACATCTGTCTCTCTGAAGTTTGAATGGTCTTTTCTATCGCCACGTACTCCTTTATATCGAGAAATGATTTCTCTGCTACAGATTCTTGACAGGGACATTGGTCAGAAGATAATGAAAATAAAAAAAGACCAAGGCTCATGATGATACGTGGACAGACTAATAGCCTGAGGCTCATAAGTCATTCGGCGAACCAGACATTCTGGTCAATCCTCTCATCCAAGCCCTCCTCTCAACGCTCTCTCACATTTGCTTCGTTCTCTCTCTATTCTTTTCGTCATTCCTCTGGTGTGTGTTTGTCTCGATTGCACTCGCGACGATTGCATACGTATGTCCTGAGTGCAAGCGCCTTTGGGATCTAGCGTACCTTACCCTAATGACCCAAGGGGTGGAGAGGTTTTTGATTCGAAAACTGACATTGAAAAGAGCTGATATGGAATGATATGAATAGTGCAGTGAACAAAGAGTTGAAAAAGAAAGTAAGAAAGAGAAACAGCTATCTCTCTTCTATTTCTCTTCAAGTTGTGATTCGTCAGAATCGCCTCACGTGAGGTTCATCCCCCCCTAAGTTTGAATCCGTACAGTCTGTCCGCATGACGACCTTCAACTTTTTCCTTGTGATCTTTATAACGCGGTCTTCTTCGCATTTTTTGAGTAAATTTTGCCTTAAAATGGTTACATTTTGATATTGTGATTCGTTCGAAAACACTTCCATGTCTTTCCTTCTCTTTTCGGCCTTCGGATAACTCCGATTATAATCATATGATTATCTTCAATAGACTAACCTTGTCCAGTCTATTTGTTCTTTGGGACGCGTCGCGTGTTGCGTCGCGGTATGGTATTCCCCTGTGTCACATCATTGCTCTTTTGATCTTCAATGCTTCGAAGGGGATTCCCTCGTTTCCCACGCTAACCTGTTGAACTTATTCCAAACTAACTTCATTATTGTTCCTCTTGAAATTTTCCATAAGTTCTTATCATTAAACTTGCTCATTACAATGTGTTATGATCTTCACTTCTTTTCCATATCTATTTTTCACATTCTGCGCATGGTTGCAGAAGCATTAGCTGCAGCATGATTGGTAGTGAACCGAAGAATTTCGCCATTTCTATGTTTAGTCTTTCTCTGTCAAATCTATTATTAGACTATAGTATCCTTCTGCTTTTTTTCAGCCAAAAACGGCGCGTTCAGGAGCTCTCCGCTTCGATCTGTTGCCTTTAACTGCAGGTTTTTTATTACTGGCTCCTCTTCGAAATCAATCAGTAAGCTATAAATATGTTTTGACGAAAAAACGAGATTCCTTTTGTAGATACCGTCCTATTCAGAGAATCATCAAGCTCTCCGTTTACGTAGGCGAATCCCAAAGCCGGATTACTCCGAAGACCTGACTTAAGTTGTAGTTCGATGAATAGTGGTGAGTAGTATAGTAAAGGCTGAATGGCAAACGTTATCGTTGTTTAAGGTATACCCGAAGGAATAGGATATCTAAGTGGTGGTGTTGATCCACATTCCCCTCCTTCAGAAGGTTTGGATATCTCTCCACGTCGCGGTTCTTCCTCACCCGGTTAGTGTTTTGATATATCCAGGTGTACATGTACGGTGGGCGAACAACATGATAGTTGCTTTTCCTTTTTTATGTGCTTTTCACAAGTTTGTGATAGTATTAATGATTTTCTTTTCAATGCCTTTTCCTTTTTTTCCTTAACCGGTTTTAGTCTTTGAGAATCTTTGAAGATATAGAAGGAACCTTAGTGCCCACAACCTGTTTTATCTTTATCAGTTTTTATTAACTATTATCTCCAGAAATGAAAGAGAATTTTGTTTTTTCCCCAAAAATTCGAAGGAAGGAGTCGTAAAGTACATGAAAGTTCTGTTGTGTTGTTTTCCATACTTAGGACTTTCCTCACCAGTCCTACAACTTCTGCAAGAAGTATAAGTTCAGTGAACTTTCTTTTTTACAGGCTACGACAGTAATCCTGACAAGCCAACATCCAGAAAACGTACCAACACCACTAGCAGTGGTAGTGGGGATAAAAGAACGGCTAATAAGGTAGAAGCTTCCTGATCTGATAAGCCATATTCAACTGAATTCAGATATGCCGTGTGTGTGGCGATAAGGCTTTCAGCTATAACTTCAATGTTATTACTTGCGAGTCGTGCAAAGCCTTCTTCAGGAGAAACGCTAACAAAGTGCGTTTCGCTTCTATACTATGATGATCAATTATGTTTCAGGAGAAAGACATCAGATGTCCGTTCAACGAGAATTGCGAAATTAATATCGTCTCTAGAAGGTTCTGTCAGCGGTGTCGACTCGCGAAGTGCTTCGATGTCAGTTACCTCATTTCCGACGTTATCATGATTCTGTTTTTTCCAGGTCGGGATGAAAAAAGAGTGGATCATGACTGAAGAAGCAAGGTTGGAGAAAAAGCAAAGGGTTGAAGAGAATCGAGAAAGAAGATTACAAGACGCTCTTGCAAAGAACTCTGATAGTGTAAGTATCATCTATTATCACCTATAAATCATGATTGATTATACAGGGATCCTCACCAATGCGAGATCGGACTATCAGTGATAGTCGCATGGATGACGGGAATTCACAAGATGGCTTCATAACAGTACGTGATTATGTCATGCAGAGTGAAGATTTGAAATTCACGAGGATGTGAGTTCATCTTCTTGTGACTTACTTACCAAAATGAATTTCAGACATGACGATATCTCACAACCTCTGGCAGCTCTGCCCATTGCTTGTCATTCACATCCGCTTCTAGATACGATTCCAACAACTGGTATATCTGTTTCGAAACTTTTCAAATTATACCCTTTGTTAAGCTGCTAACTCCGTTGCTGACGTTAGTGCAACTACTTCACATTGCCATACAATGGACGTTGATCCTTCAACCACTATGAGTGGTAATGGTTTTATCCCTCCAACAATTGAAAATGGTTTGCTAATCCTTTTATCTGACTCATATTTTTTCGTTTTTTAGTCACCGTTGCTCTACCCACGTTAATACCCAGCGTTGCCCCTGTTGATACCTCCCTCATGGCTCAAGTTGCTGCTCAAGCTGTTATTAATCAACAACAACATCAGGTAACATCTAAACTTTTTCGTGAATCTCATACTCGTCGTTTTCAGTTAGCCGCTGCTGTTGTTGCCCAGCAAGTTGTTGCTCAGCAAGTAGCTGCTCAAATGGGTGTGAATACACCTCCTATTACTACCACTTTACCTCCCCTACCTAAGGTAACGAAAGAACCATATGTTCAAATGATAACAGTCAACATTCTTTTCAGCCAGTTTTAACTCCTGCTATTGCTACTCCGATGCTCACTAACCCCTTGCCTACACAAGCCCCTTCATTACTCCATGGTATACCACCCCCTGATATGGTTACTATTCCCAGAGATGTTTGTTCGATTCATCAGGCAGTTATATTCTTTCTCTTCTTAGATTTTATTGAAGTTAATGGAAACTAATACTGTTCGTCAAGCCAATTGTAGATGTACATGTGTATGTGGAAGATACCCTCCAGGATCAGTAATTGTGGATGAGGTAAGCACTATATGCAAGATCTTTCAAACTTCATCATTCAGGTAACTAAAAGTCTGCTAGCTGCTGGAAATCAGAACTCGAGTTGCAATTCTTGTGAGAACAAGGAAGAGGCTCGCCTCGAAACAGCTGAAGATTTCCAAGTGAGTCATTTGACATTCCGAAGTGTCTATGTTCTTCTCTTCTTCAGAGAAACGGCTTATTACCTTCCGATGATTCGTCAGTTCAATGGCTGAACTCGAGTCAACCTACTGTTGTAGATCCCAGCACTATATTTGTATGTATTATGTCTTTGTCCGATGATAACGTGTTCTATTACAGGATAGCAGTGTTGTTCCTGAGAATGTTAGTATGTTCAATGTTGATCCCTATTACCCCAATGCGACAGTTTTGGAAACACAAATGCAATCTATCACAGGTTTGAGTTGAAATATTCCAGCTGATCACCCTTTTGTTTTTCAGTTGATCCTAACATGTGGGTACTAACAGTCGCAGACAAGGAAATACTGGCAGAGGTTGAAAATGTGAACCAATCCTGGAAAGAGTCCTCTATTGGCTGGAGGTTAGTGTACTTAGTTTGTATTTCATACATTAACACATTCCAGTTCGGAGAATTATCGAAACGGAACGGATTATGGGTTGATAACGTCGAGAATGCAAAGCATGGCAAGAGCTCTCGGTCGGTTGACGAGTTTCCGATTCCTCAATCAGTTGGACCAAGTGGCATTGATTAAAAGTATGAATTTTATCTGCTAGTTAACTGAGATATTTTTCCAACTTTTTATGACATAGTTACTTATTACAGAGAACGCAATTTTGTATTTGGCCTTGCGTGGTGTTTTGGTCTGTGATCCTAAAGAGACCACTGTTTCAGTGCCAGAAGAGTGGCCTTTCAGTAATGAATTGTTTGTGCAGTGCATCAGGTATGCGATAAAATGTTTTAGTAGTCTTATCAAATTTATTAAAGATTGTTTATTTCTTTATCGGAGCCTATCAGAAGGAACGAACTGGCGCTGTCTGTTCTCTCTCTACTGGCATTGTTTGATGTTGACGCCAGTATAACAGATAGGGACACAGTTCTAAAATGTTCAGAGAAGTTCTCAGATCTTCTTAGGAGGTGAGCACTCACTATGAGAAGAGAATATAATCTGATGCTTTAAGGCTACTTTTCTCTTATTTTAAACAAGATTACTCCAAAGCAAGAGCTGAGTATCGAGCTGCCGTTAATCTGTTGTCTGCAGCACGAAAGGCTTCGGTTATTGTTAATACTGTTATAGGTTGGGAACCTGCAACAACCAACTTCAACGAATACTGTTGTTAAACTCTTATGTACATATGTTTAAGGAGAATTTTGTTCATTTTGTAAATTTATCTTCGATTCCAGTCAAATCCTGCCTTTGGTTTCCTTATTGACTCATTCTTTCAAACAGGGACCCGTTATGTAAATGTATGTGCATACGTAGAATTTGAGCAATTCTGAATTAACAAAACCTCCACTATTTCTATAACGATCGTCTTTGTTCAAGTATCTCATGCCATTCAAAGTTTCTTAATCCTAGCTTGATGAAACCTCAAAAGGTTATTAATATCTTTAGTTAGTTTGTAAAACCGCCGGATGAGAATTCCACTCATCCTTCCAGTATTTTAATGATACAAGACCGGAATGTTCTTACCTGTGATGATATTCATCTGAATTTTATATTTCAAATTTTTATACATATATTTATAACATAATTTTATTTATATATACATATACCTTTATATATATATATACATAAACATGAAAATTCTAAATTTTGATTTTACTTAATAATGGAATACTGCAAACACAACTGCTTTGGACCAGAGTGAACCCTGCAAAATGTTTGTTCCTTGCACCTGTGTATTCTTTAATGCCTTACGTTATCATAGAAATGATGAACCAAAACATCACAATCAGAGTCCCAAAAACACTGTGAAACTATGCTGCAAAACTACTGTGATAAATGTCCTGCGATTTTTGTACCCTACTTGGCTGCTTGTCCTCTCTGTTCTGCGATTGTCACCTGGACAATGTACTTGTAGTTTGGTAAATGTAAACCTAATCAATACAACCGTTCTGAGCCTCTGCTGCCTATTTGGATACCTTTCAGTTGAGTACGTATTTCTTCAGAAACGCTTTGACTTAACATCTCTACAGTATTATTGTCATATGTTTGACCAGCTAATTGATTCTCCATCACCCTTTTGAGAATAGATTCCCCTTGGTCAGCACGGAATCTCAAACATTTGTTGATCTTGGACAAATATCTAACTTACTTTTGATCAGCTGCAGGACGAAGAATGAAATCTCTTTCTTGCTCCATTACCACTACTGAGTTGTATCGACCTTAATGCCTTCTGAGCCAAACATTCAGTTCCCCCGTTGTCATGGTAACTAACCACAACACAAAACGAATGAAGCGTCATACCCTTTCAAAATTCATATAAAACTTCTTGCTCCCTTATTGAGCTTAATTCTAGAATGATAAAGAGAATGAAAATCTCTCGAGGTTTATCTATAACTTATTTACAACAAAGATGGAGTGCTTGGTCCATGGAAAAGGGAATTGGATCGTCTTGGAGATGGAATCATTGTATGAGGGGATGTATCTTTTTCTTTACGGGAAATCCTCACAATGCAATTATCTTTCTGAAAAAATTCACCTATGATGTTTAACTTTCATTGAGAGTTACTTCTTTATCCACTAAGCTGTTTCGCCTGCTGACTCTAGGAGAGGGTGGTTGAGAGAACAGAGCAGCTCGTTGTTCTCTCTCAACAACAAAAACATTTTGCCTAGGTCCGTCTTCCCCAATGCTGATATGATATTGTTGAACATAATGAATGATAAAACAGTTTACCGATCATAGATTAATCCATCAACCTTCAATTCTTTTTTGAAAAATTCCTGATTGTCTTTGGTATTCAAGTCGTCACCCCAAACAAAGCTCACTAAGTTATATTTATCTGCTCGTTGCAATGGGGTTCGGTCCTGGAAAGAAACAGAAGGATTATTTTTCTGTATATTCACTAGTACTTTGAGAAGCTCTTCGGAGTGGAAGTTGACTCCTAATAAAGAACTAGCTGCTGCATAGTGCACGGCTATTTTCGAAGAATCGGAGCGAATATCCTAATTCGCAAAACTGTAATTATTACAAACTTTGCGATACAAACCTCGAATGGAATGTATCTAGCTGTTTCCCCAACAACTAAAAATAAAACGGGGAAAGTGTGTTGTTTCTGAGAAATCCTGAAAAAAATTGTGTAATACTTCTTCCAGACGTCGACCGTTCTGAGGCATTACAAAACAAGAATGATGTCAGTCACGGTTTTCACGCCGTTCACGTGAGAACACCACGTGGAATATCAACGAACTCGTTCAAACCAATTCAAACGTGTAAAACACTTACAATGTACAAATGTCGGGATCGAAACTTGAAAAAAGAATTCTCCGATCCCTGGCATGTTTGAAAACACTCGTTAGGATAGTATCAACAAACACATTTCTCTCGAAGTATCCAGCACACTCATGAGTTCCATCCTTCAAATGAAAATAGTATTCCATTAATTAACAATGTTTGTACCTTCATGGACATAGGATATTTGACTTCTATATTGAAACCTACACTATCATCGACTTGTCCCAAAACGGTATCTAGCGTTGGGAAAGGATTCAGAAGATCATCAGAAGTGTCAGCCTCCAAAGTTTGAAGCCTCTCTTGCTAACATTGTAACTCATATGTTAATCACCAATACTGCATTAATTACCTCAGATGGAACTACCCTCAACGTGTTTTCATCAACTGTCGAGTGAGCCAGATGTTCCAAGTGAAGTAAATTTAACTGCGATAACTTCAAATCCTGAACGAAAAGACGGGTGAGACTTGTGTTCAGAGAATAAATAACCTTTATAGCCATTTGATGATGCTTATGTTCCCCGTTCAGAGGAAACCCTTTCACACTACGACTGGTGACTTCTACTAAGACGTGAAAATCATGATAAACTATCGGAACCAAATCCTGGAAGTAATGATAATGATTCAAAATTTTCCTTTTGAGTATATACTTTGGTGAGTTGAACATCAAACTCAACATAGTCGGCTCCCTTTCTGGCAGCTTCGTTCAAGGAATGTATTGTATTTTCTCTAAAATTGGCGCATCTAAAGGAAAGAGGTAAAAGCTTTCTGAAACATTCTGCCAACTTGGTATACGAGCTTCCCATTCCCCGATGTCCAACTTCAAGAGTTTGTCTTTTCCTCCAATGTTTTCCATAAGATTTTGCGAGGCAATCTCTCAGCGGAACCTCGATTGGCAAATGCTTCACTAACATATAATCAACTGCAAAATAATTATTAAACAACGATATCGATAGAAGTTGGAACCATCTATTTGTCCAATTGGCGTATGATGTGTGGAAATGATTGGAAAAGTAATCTTCCCATACGTGTCAGGTAGAGCTGCGGGTAACGCATAAGCAATTCCTATTCGTGTATGGTTATGATACAGTTCAATACGGAAAGCCTGAGAATTCAACACGTTCTGATAAACACTAGATCTCAACTACCAAATGTTCAATTGAAACACTCCTAGTTTTGAAAACGAGATAATCCGTGTTGTTGCGGAAAACTGATCCATTCACATACTGTTCTCCGAAAATAGGATCTTCACGCGTCAGAACCTGTGATCAAATGAACACAAGAACCAATAGTCAATGTTACCGATAGCTCAGTAGATGAGAACGATGGAACTTCAGGTAGTGTTGGGTCTCTCTCGTTCTCCGGTACATTATCTTCATCAACGCTATCTTTCTGAAATCGAAACATGCTTAGAGGATCATTTTGTTTTCTGCATCTCTAAATCATAGCAAACACATGGTAACACAAATGACAGTACAACATCAGATTTACCGATGCTTGATAAACTGACGACAAACGCCACAATAGTTTTCGAGGGAGAGAAGGTCTCGAGGCGTATGTATAATATGAATAAATCTAAAGTGGTAGGCAATACCGAATCGTGGACATGGACGGAATAATGATAATCGATTACCTCTCGGAATCTGACATCGAATGGTACAACTTTAAGACGATGCTCCCGTTCTTTGAATCTTGGCTTATAGAACTTCAACGCCTGAGAAACGAATGTTGAACAGACATAAGGACATGCAATTAACTTCTCCATGTATTCTTAATAATACAACATGTTCATCAGCTTGTGAAATCCATCCATTCGATATTAGTTTCTTGCCATCTAGTTAGACATCGATGAGTAAAGTGCAAAATATTAATAGATCCCACCATAACTACCAAAAACATCTTCCTTCAACTTTGTTTGCATCTTTGGCATACATCTTCGTGGTTTCAATATAGATTCCCATCTGAGCGAACATTATGAGAAAGAGATATTCGAAGGAAAATATGATGTCATGCGCTCCCTTGTTATTTTCTCTCTCAACTAATTAGAATTCTAAGTCGCGTGCTTCGGTTAAGCCACGTGAGTTTATTTCTAAGGCAAAGGGCGGACAAGGCGGTTGTATACGAAAATCAATAGAAAGTATCCTTACCTGTTTATTATTAACTTCTTATTTTCTGTTCCATCTGCTGCATCCAAATAACTTCCAACTATATAACGATAAAATACTTCTGATACACTGTTCGGGAATGATACAACGGCTTCGAAGATTTCACTAGTAGATCGAGATTAGTAATGTTGTACAACCTTCATTCTGCCTTTTTATTACTTTAGGCGGAAGCTGTATTATCTCGTTTCTCTTATCAAATATAGTTAGTACTCACTTTTCTTTACGATTCAAGGCATAGGCCTGAGCAGCTATCCAGTTTCCTAGTTTTTCGTGTGATCCAACAATGAAAACATGCTCCCATGCTGCAGCATCAGGCACCCTAACATGAAAATTGACTTCTGTAGTCTCAGCCATCTGGAATTGAATCAACAAAAATCCGAAAAGAAGAGAAATGAACAAAAAAATGTTATAAAGTTAATTCGAGTAAGGAGAAGAGGTCTTAACGGCCTATAAGCGCTCAACATAATGCATTGACAAGGACGAAAGAAAGAAAATTGCGGTAAGCCTAGTTGAGTTAGGAAAGTAGCTCAACTGTTCAAGAATTCATAACAAGCTGGAATAGAGAACTGGAACAAACTTCTAACAATGAGGGAAATATTTCAATACTAAACGCAGCTTGATCGAAATTTATAAAATCTCACTGGGTACATGGAAAAAAAACAAGTGGCTTCGATTACGACACAAAGCATAATGCAAAGATTTTCGAAAGGGAATGATGGAAAGTAAATTAAATTGTTTATGTTTTTCTTACTTTATTTGATAAAAAAAGATAAGATTAAGCAAAGCAGAAGCCAATTGGCATTAACGTCATAAAGTACTCGAAAAACTTCAGAAAAAAAGAGATGGAAAGTAAGCAATATTGTGTAAATAGCGATGTAAAATAAGTTGAAAATGATTTTAAGTACATGGAGAATTAGCAGAATGACGATCATTCATTCAGGTTCATTTGAACGCCCAAAAATGTTTTCTCAAGGGAAGGCTTGAAGAATAAGAAGACGACGGGCAAGAAGAAGAATACGAAGGCTAGATAGAGGAGCGAGCATACAATTCTTTACTTCGTTATCCAACTCGAGTACATTTCGCTTTCTTTTTTAAAAGCAGTAGAACGTAGTAAACTACTGGTTAATCGGAAGCTAAAATCAAAAAGCGGAAAAGAAACAAGGAAATACAAAAAATCTGCTGAGACTTTTGTTTTCCCGGCACGTGGGTCTCTCGTGATTAGTCGGCCATGCTTCAGATAACTCGGTGTCAAAGTATAATATTGACGGCGTTAGTGTGGAGGAAACGAAACGAAAGTGTTGAAAAAATAGAAAAACTATGTTTTGATGAGAATGTCAAAACTTTAAGGAAGTGGTGTAAATGAGAGAGAACGAACTAATTTCTCATATTGACAAAAGATACTTATGAAGTTAGTCAATGGCGTGAAGGGTAGATTGGTAAGCAAAGTTATGGAACAGATGTGGAGGGGGATAAGAAAGTTTTGGCCGGTTTATCAAGCAATCTTCCAAGCGTTATTCACAATTGATTTCACTGGAAAGAAGCTGAGAACGAGACAATAAGACTAAAAATACTTCAAAATGATGCTGAAAGGAAGACAGGTACTGATTATCAAATAATGATGATCGAGTGCATGTGTAGACTTCATAATGGAATTAGAAAATATCTTTCCAGGTTCAAAGGCTGATAAGATAAAGTGTGATTATCTTATCTCATTCAAATGAGAATGCTTCCGTCACATGGTCTATCTGGATTTGACGGAAGAATGTGGTTAAGGTCAGCCGCTAAACGAATAACGTAGGAATTTCATTATTGAAATTCGAAAACATTCTTTTCTATTTTCCCAAAAATGACTCGTAATAATGAGAAATGCGTCAAAACATGTTAGAAAGCAGCTGTAGAAGGTAAGATAAACTGACAAATGAACTAATATCATGATTAGATGACGGCCACTTTGATGAAAACAAAACGGGAAGAAAAAAAAGAAAAATGAAAAGAGAATAAACGAATCGCATTTATGTTGCTTGGATCGATGCATAGCCAGCCAAATGCAGTTGGGAGGAGGCGAAACAGAGAAATGAAGACATGAAATGCTTGCTGGCGGAGCATGAAGCTGCATGAAAATGACACAGAAAAAAAAAAGAAAAAAGAAAGAGGATATAGAATGAGAAGAGGAAAAATAAGGACTTCTCCTTCGGAAAATAACAGATAAAAGCAATTGAGCAAGCCAACACATTCAACCGATGCAACTCAGTCAGCTCTTCCGAAGCCTTAGAGCCAGCAACTGATGTGTGAAACGATTAAAATACATGGATGATCGAAAAATCAATCACAAAATGAAATCTCAAGTATTTTCTGAATACAACTATATGAAGGTCAAAGGGATGAGGTTGAGATTGCTGCTGTGTGTCGCAGGTCAGAAACAGCTGACGTGATTTGCCCTCAACAGGATTAAAACTAGCAGAAATCGAAAAAAATATTCTAAAAAACTAAAGTTCCCCTCCCTATATTTTTTGTTTATTTTGTAAGCGAGCGGAGAGAAAGCTCTGGATTAGGCATGTACATAGGGTAGGGCGAAAGAATGGGTCGGCTATGAGGACATCTCATTAGGAGATAGACAAAAGGAAAACTATTTTCCATTGTCTACCCGTTTCCGAGCTGTAGAGAATATGATAGCTAATAATACCTCGATTGAATTTTTTAAATGAAACTGTTGTGGTATCCCGAGATGTGATGGACTTTTCCGTTCCCTGCTTCAGCCTCTGACACAAACATTCCTCAACCGTCCAATAAATTTCAAGGAGTCTGAAATAAAAGAATTCTCTCACCAATACGATACATAAAAACGATACAACCGCTTTTGATAAAAGAGCGATGAGAAATAAAATTACTGAACCAACGCACGGAGCACACGTCTTCGAAATTAGCATAAAATCGATCAATCAATGGTAGATTGAAAAAAGGCGGGAAAATAATCGAATTTACGTTCGATGACAAATTATCTAATCAGCTCCAAGTATAGTCCTTCAATTCACCATATGGAGCCAGCCTTTTTTTGAAAATGTGACATTTTGTACTTGGGGCGCGATTTTTGCATCCGTTCGTTGATCCCTGAACTATTTGTCACAAATAGTATTTGTGGTGTATGCCTATAACTCAAGGTATGACTTACGTTAAACTTAAACTATCAAGAAAATCAAGAAAAGTGATTATTACTTCTATACTTTCAGAGCAATAGAAGATAAACAAGGAAACAACAAAGAATTAAATAACAAAAATACAAAAGAACCAAAAACTGATCTCTTTCCCAGAGATCACGGCTTACAACAACTAACATTAATAAATCAACTCAAAGCTTAATGAATCATAAAATCAAAAACATAGAATCCTAAAATCTTATTTCAAGGCATAATCCGATTACTGTATCCTCTCCTTGCTCCATGCATATGCCCACGTTTCGTTACGTGACCAGATGTACTTTGACGTCCTCTTGTCACGTACTGTCCTTGTACCTGGTGAATGCAAATCATGACTGATATTTTTTTGAACTTAAAAATGTGAGCAATTCAAAAGTGTTGTAATAGTATGTTAAGCATGATTAAAGAAACAAAAATAAGCACTTTCTTCTTCGTTGATCCCAATATCACTCACATGGCTGGCCTTGGTGTATATCAAGTGCATGAGTGTTAACCCATTATCGTACTAATCAAAGGCTCAGAACTAATCGCGAGTATTATCATTTTTCAAAATTCAGTTTTCATGTGAGTTTTCTGATTACTGTTAGCCGTTTGGTTAAATAAAATGACGTGTTCGTATGACTTCGGAGTTCCGTTGGACTTTCCATGAGTATGATGTTTGATTGTCTTTTTCTCTCATCCTTTAGGAAATGAAATTTCAAGTTTTGTTCCATGCGACATTCACTTAATAAAACGTGCTCGTTCGTTTTTGAATACGCTCAAGAAAGCTCAAATGACGAGAGAGGAAGATGACTCTTTTTGCCGATGAGCAACACGTTTGTTGTAGAATGCTTGTTCTATGCTGCTTCTCTTGATACAAAAAAACGTCGAAGCCTGTCATCTACGAGATGAAATTGCCCTCAAATTTCGGTAACCAAATAGAAAGAATAATACTCCGGTTGAAACAGTATATCTCGCTTCTCCATGTTTCTCTAATAATGCTATGCTTGCTCAATCATTTGTCTTTTCTTGTATTTTTTAACGCAAATTCGGTCCTGAATGCAAAGAGCAACATGTGGATTCACAGATTGTCCTTAGACTCTTCTTTTTCAATTCATTGTCATTCTTGTCATGTCAGAAGAAAAAGTTAAGACTCAGTGCAAAAAGAAGGACAACGCCTCCGGACAACGATGGCCGATCGTGGACCGGTCTGGGTGAATACGCTGAACGTCTTCCGGTATATATGCAGTCTCCTGGAACCGGGACGTCATTTTTGAGATTCTGACTCATTTTGGCAAGTTCTCTAATGTGCTCCTTTTCTGTTGAACATAAACATCATTCCATTTTACAAGTTTTCAGTATTTCAGGTAAACAGCTTCGATAAACGAACGAGATGACGACGGTTCTTCTGTTGTGCATGCTTCCTATGACTATGGCGGTGAGTTACTTTTACTTAACTGAAAAATTCAACATAGTATGTAATATAACTTTTTATTCATTTAACTCAACCGTTCATTGCGCTGCAAGAAGTAAAAATGAGAAGGTTGCACGTGAGCAGACCTATGAATTACATATGCAAATTAGAATATGAAAGACTGTTTCATAAATTTGCATATTTGCTCAGAAAGTCTGGTGATGACTTAAAACAATTGAATGAGGAAAATAGTTTTTTTTTCGCAGAATGTTAGTCTAGTCAGTGTCGATTTAGAGATTCTTTTGTATTGAAGTTGCTTTTCTTGTTTGATCTGTTGACCGTTGTCTGCTCTTTTTCTCGCCTACTTTCTTTTTGGCATGGTTGTTAAAAAAGAATGTTTCAAGATTTTTGCGAATACCGGAATGTACAGAAGTTTGGTGAGCAATAACACAAAGCTGAGGCTGAAGCTCAATAGAGAACAAACATCATAGAGCTTTCAGTTTGAAAAAAAGTTTTCGAAAGCACTTCTCCTTATTGGAGCGTAACAGGCTTCATCTTTGAAACTTCAAAGCTTACTCTCATTTAATTTTTATCCACTCTCTTTCAGCAACTTTATTTGCATTCTGATCTGGCATATCACGCACCTGCAGCGAGCAGTTATGTTTTGCCCGCATCTGCATATCAACCTGTAGTAGGAAGATTACAATGTGTTGCTGGCTGTATGCCAGCTTGTAATCCTTCATGTATTCGTCTCTATCAAGTTCCTGCTGTTCAGCATTACGGGCCTTCAGCTGTCTTGGCAGCTCATTATGTTCAGCAGCCATACGTTCATCCCTACATGGCTATCCAAGGATGTCTACCATCTTGCATGCCAACTTGCTCTGTTCAATGTATGGACGCCCCACATGCTCCACATGTTCCTCATGTTCCTTCTAGTACTCCCGGTAAAAATTTATCGAATCGAAAGTTCACCTTTTTCAACATTTAAGCTTCATCCGAGACTATTGCACCTGAAACAACAACCCTGACCCCGGAACCGGAGACAACTACAACAACTGAGGCCGTCACTACAACCGAAGCAACAACTACAACGACTGAAGCTACAACCACAACGACCCAACCCACTACAACGACGACAATGACGACGACGGAATCAACGACAACAACCACAACTGAAATCCCTACAACAACGGAAGGCACAACGACAACAGTTGCTTCAACAACTCCATGTCAATGCATGCCAATTTGCAATTGCCCAACCGAGACAACACTCCCAATCTTACGTGATCCACCAGTTTTTGAGGTTAGGTTTTCGAAGATCTTTGTTTTTTCTCTCTTCTTACTTTAAAATGTACACGTTGCTGAAACTTAATTTTCAGACTACTTTCGCTCCAACCATCTCCACAACAACATTCCCTGTAACACCTAGTCGTTTAATGCCAGGAAATGTTCCTTGCACTAATGTTTGCGTTATCCGAGTAAATATTGGACAACAACTAAACAAGGCGATTGAACAAGGAATGAATGGTTGTCGTAGAACAGTATGCAGTTGTCCAGAAGGGTTCCAACGATGCAATAACCAACGTTGTTGCCGTCATTTCTGATTTCAAGCTTAAAATAGGAAACAATGATTTCCACTGTTTGTACATAAGAATTTCGTCTATAATAAACCTTTTCTATCAACTTGTCAGTCATCAAACCGTGTTTCTCATCGGTTTTGTCAAACAAGAATTATTGAGAAGGCAAGCGTTTACCCTTTATGCACAGATTTCGACGGTATGAACTAGTAACGAATTAGTATGGTCACCAAACTTGGTGGAATTCTAGAAAAATTGTTATTTCTCGATCTGTTTTCAAACTTTGCCGAGATCAGCAATCTATACGGTTGAACGGTCTTATCAGGAGAGGCAGTCAGTTTATGGCCCTCCTTCTTGCAAGCGTAGCAAGTGATCGTGCGTCTTTCTTCAACACGAGCTACGGGGGTTGCGGCTGAGGTTAAGACTGATTTTTTTTTCATCTTCTTATATCGACAATTCTTGCAGGAATTTTATTGTATCCGTGTCATCCGAACTCTCTTCGATAACGTAAGAAGGCTTACCCTGTAAGACCCGGACTCTCTAGGTTAGGGTTCTACTGTTCCGGTCCCGTACTGGGATGAATGCACTGTAGCAACACCTGTCTGAGGTGTGCTAAATCAGCTTGCGTGCTAGCATGCAACGCTTGGAGAAATTTGCCCTTCCTCAGGACAACTGCTGGAGTTGTTTTAAGGGCATCTCTGGCTTCTCGCACATGTTTGTGTAGTTGGCCAACGATCTGGTCAATCGTGGCGGTAACAAATTGGCTTACCTCTAAGAACCTCGTCTCGTGTTC